TACACTTGTATCTACAAATCTAGATAAAATTTATTTTACTGTAACTTTGTTCAATTAACCAACAAAATACCAAAATGTTAATTCTTATTTTTTAATTTTATATTTTAACTAGCAGAACCGCGGCTTAACTCGCGCTAAAACTATAAAAAAAACTCTAAAAAGATTCAAGTAATTCTAATCATAAATATTTTTTGAGTTGTAGTATAACATGTTTTCCCGTGGAAACGAGATAATCTCTCGCGGTAAAAAATACCCTCGGTCACTCTCCAGCCCTACTCCACATAACTATCTCCACACAAAAATTTAGGCAAACCGTCACTCCGTTTTGACGTGAAAGAAGGACAAATATACAAACAAACAAACAAACAAACAAACACACTTTCATAATATTTATAATATAAGTACGGATGTAAAAAAGTTTAATAAGATCTGTTAACATACTTCAAATTTCATAGTTTTCCTGATTTTATTAATACCGATGTTCTGTGTCAAAGAAAATTTCATGAAACCACCTCAAGAAATACGTTAATATAATACAATTTAAAGTAGCAAAACTAGTCAAGCTGTCTCCGAAAAATCTGTGACCATACATAGAAAACATATAGACGAACATTGAAAATTTTTCCCCTTCAAGATCCAATAATATTTATATTTTTTCATATATTATTTTGGCTTCAACTAAATTCAAAGGAGCGATGAAATGATGCCGATCGAGTACCGATTTATACACAGTATATTTTCGTACAGTGTGAAATGTTGACCTAATTTTTATTAAGAAAACGATTTTCTTATCTTAGTAAAGGAGAAATGAGAATGATGAAGAATATATTAAACAACGAATTTAAGCGACTTATTTTTAAAGAATATTTTATAAATATTGCATATAAAAACAATGTGTAATCTACTCCTTTCTTGCTTTGCGAGTCTTATCTTTTTATGACTAACAGCCGTCTGCGAAAAACTTGTGGTTGTGTTGAATTGCTACCCATTTAGAAGGTGACGACCCACTACACAAATGAATTAATGTTTTTCACACACGATAAACAAGGATGTCTTTAAGGGTGATGGCGCATATCACCGGCCCAAGTAAATTACTAAAAATCTTTATGAACTATCTTTATCTTTATTATTTATGAACCAGATGACTCTTACTCGCAATATAATATTATACTGTAAATAAGGCCCAATAGATACGAGTAGTATCGTCAGAAAGTTTTGTTGAGAAAAAAAAGTTTATATATTATGCCAAAAAGGGCAGAACAATGTCTGCCGGACGAGTAAAAAATGAAATCTAACTTTTTTACTTGTTTAAAACATAAGGATAAAATGGCGGATTTTCCCAATAAAAATCATTGTATAATGTAGGCACTGTCGTTTTATACAAGTGGGACAAACAAGTCGACGATAGAGGAAAATAATGAGAAATTGTTGACACTAAAATAAAATTATTCAATTTATTTACTGAACTCTACTTTTATTTTTAGCTTTGATTTTCCTACGAGCATAATAATTTATACTAAATGTAAACAATGAAGTTTTTAAAAATGGAATAATAAGTTCACATAATACTTTCTTAGATTTACGCGAATACTTGACATTTTAAGTAAAACTATCTTTTCGGATTTTTTCGCGGATTTATTTTGATTTTTGATTCCCGACGACAATTCCGAATGCTTTACGGCAATTATGGCCACGAGATAGATAGACGAAGGTTTTAGATGTCTCGAATTTAAAAAAATAATAAGTGTTCAATTTACTATGACTAAAATTCACCATAAAATTGTATTCCATCGCAAAAATTATACAAAATAAAAATATAAAGATACAATTTGTAAAAGACAAATTTTTGAAATATTTAAGATTTCATCCATACTTTTTTTATGCATTGATAAAAAAATATATCATACTTAACGTACCCATCATTACAATAATAAAAATTAGATACACTGAAAGAAAATAAGAAATCCCGCATAAACCAGCTTGTTAACTTTTAGATATTTCTGCCTGAAACTGAATACCGTAAGTGACAAGAACTCTATAATTTAATTTACATATGTGTTAGAAGTAAACATTGAGATTAAATACACATACTCAAGTTTTTATGTAAAGAACGATGGACAACTAAGTCCCTACGTAGTATATATAACCTTACCTATGCCTTCTCCTATACCTATAGTGTCAAGGCCAATGTAGAGGTAAACACCAATGATTATTTATTTATTTATTTTTATTTATTCGGTACACGGTAAAATTAGTTAAATAATCTAAGTAGAATACGGAAAATGATATTAATCCAGTTCCGTATTAACAATGATGGGATAACCTTTATAAAAACGGCTTTTTTCTGTATTATATTATTAAAACAATGTGTAAGTCTACTACTCTTTACCGATTCAAACAATAAACAGTATTGAGAAAAATATTTGCCATTGCCTACAACGCCGCGTGTCTCATAATATGCAATTGACGAAAGAAACGTGTGTGTATGTTTGTTATTGCTTTACGATAAAATGTCTGGATGGATTTATATGAAATTTAGTACCTACACGAACTATCATATTACTTATATATTATGATAACAATTAGGTTCCTGTCAGGGACCTAAGGACGCACCCGAGCGAAGCGAAGGTAAGTCGCTCATATTTGTATAGTATATAAAAATATTAATCAAAATTTGATATTTAAAAAAAAACTAAACTGCTTCTTTCTATCGACTATGACCAATGAGTCTCTAGCGAACCCCCAAAATAAGTAAAAGAATTTATATGCCATTATAAAAGTTTTATATGCATTACACAATAATCAAGATTTATTTTAATCGCCTATAATTATGATAGTTAATAAAGAAATATATTTACTTAGGTATAGACAATGCATAAATATTACATTCTATATGTAATTGCAATTATTTCTTAACGACTAAACTAATTATATACTTTCTACAATAAAACATGTATAAATAAATATTAATTAGAATTAACCATCCTATCGCCGACCTTTACGAGATTTACGTCAATGATCTCTTTTATAACCCTAATTATTATTATCTATACTTATACCTACCTACTATATAGATATTACCTAGTTAAAACTTAAAATATTGTGTTCGTCCCGGCTGCAACGACGTTTACACCTTTATCTGCTATTTACATCTGTGGAAGGAATATTTTGGCAAATTTTATCGCTATTTATAGAAATGATATTTTTCGTTTTTTGTTAATTTGCGTCGTAAGTAAAAATGTGTTTAATAATATTAAGTACTGATTAAGTAGCACGTGAAATAACAAAGTCGTAATATTGATGATAAGAATATAATGTAACCATAAAACGGCTTACCCTTTTATTTTGGAAGATATTGTAGCATGCCTACGTATGTATGTATGTGTATTTTAGTACTTACCTATGTACTAATATATCTACAAACATGACCCTCGTTTACTAAAGGTACCTATGCTGAGAACTAGAGTAACTTCTTTATCGACAGTTTTATGTGAAACCTACTTACAAAATCAGAATAATGCTTGTACAACAGGTACTAGTAACGTGTAAAACAAAATTTAAATCTGTTTAACTCATCACGATTTACTATAGCCCAATAAAACGATGATAATATTATATTGATAATATTATATAGATGATAAAAATATAATAAAAACTCATTCTCTGTCCTTTCCCAGGATACAGGATGTATTCTTACCAAATTTCATCAAGATCTGTTCAGTAGTTTAAGCGTGACGAGACAGATAGTAACAGATTAGAACGTTGTGATTTTATGTTACACTAGCGGCTCACCCTCGCTTCGCTCGGGTTCGCCTCTAGAAAAACACTAATAGAGATCTATTAGTTCCCACGGGAACCGTTCATTTTTCCCGGATGAAAAGTAACCTGTTGTTTGGCCGGTTTGGAAAGGTTAAGTAATATTAGGGAAATATGTTGAAGGCAGAAAATCAACAAAACATTATTTATATACCTTTCCTTGTAAAATTTTCCTGCATAAACATTTCTCAAATAAAATATATAAAATAAAACACATGTAAACACTAATAACTAGTTATATTTAAAATAAATAATAAACAACAGATCAGGATCACCACAAAATTTTCCGCGTTTATAATCTACCTAAAAAGTTGGTTAAAAGTTCCATAACAAATAATTTAAAAAATACATTTATTAAAGTGAGTTCAATAACTACCGTGTGGTAGTTACTAATAAAATGTTTTACTTTATTGTTATTTTTTTAAATAAATTATATGTATACACAACCATTGCAGCAAATATGCAAAGATTGTAGATTCGATTTCCACGTAAAGACATTATGTTATTTGTTATTGTTATTTGCACAGGTATTGTTAAAGCAAAAAGCAAAGGAAACAATCATTTATGAATTTGGGTTATGAAATGAAAAAATAACAACACAAAGTAGACATGTTCGCGCTAAGTTGACTGCTTTTTTTTTAATTTTCACCAACATTTATAGCACATAATGATTGACATTTATTGACCTAATTTTTCTTTGCACGTGATGAGATCCCATGGATATAGATAATAAATATATCTGTTTTGAGTCAGAATATTTTATTTTAGTATAACAGTACAGATATAGATAATAAAGAAATCGGATTGCAGTCAGGCTATTTTGTTTTTTTGTATGACATACAGATTACAACTGTTTGTAACCGGCATAAACTTGATTCAAGACCCCGTTATTACGAACGCGATATTATTAATTATGATGCGTATTTAAAATAAAGATTATGCTGTAAACAATATTTCATAATAAAAACTTATTATTAAGCAATCTTAATTCAAGACTATTTATAAATAAAATACTTGGGAGTTTATGTTTTCGTATTCACTATTTTTTCGAATAACATTTTATAACTATAATTTAAAAAATATCACGTAAGATGCGTGTTAACTTACAAATAAGGTTAAACTTAGGTGTAACTTTAAACCTCGGCTTATTACGAGTCTGACATAAACAAAAGTAACTTTAATCACACATCCCATATAAATATTTCCTGTAGCATGCCTAAAGACTGCAATTGTATATCATTTTCAACAGCTAAGTCCATTGTAATATATTTGGCTGCTTCTAATATTTTGAGACAAGATGTGTTTTCTGGTGGCAGTTTGTGATATAGTTGTGTGTATAGAGCCTTTGCACAGTCGAAGTGGAAAACCAAAGGATCTACGATATCATTCAAATCTGATGGCTTCAGTAAACAGCATAGATGGGCTAGAGTCACGCAGAGCTGAAAAAAAATAAAAAATATTATTAAAATTTGATATATCAAACACATACACGATCGATTTAACTAAAAATTACTTAATTTTCTGTAGCTAAATTGAAAAACCTGAACTAAAAGAAGAAAGATTTAAACCATTTTAACGTTGTTTTACTTTATAACGTTGAATGGAAATATATTTCTCCAACAACAGTATCCAATGGTCAGCGTAACTAAGAACGCGACTAAAATCTTCCTAAGATATAGGGACATTGCACAGACACCAACTACATGAGTAAATATTCCTACAGAGGTAATTAAATAAATAATAAATATATTGGGACATTAACACACAGTACCATCTAGTTCCATGGTAAGCTACGAGGCTTGTGTTATAGATACCAGATAGTTGATACACAACACAAAAATAATTTTAAATACATGTAACATATTATAAAAATAAACACCCATGATTGGAGTACAAACATTCGTGCTCATCACACAAATTAATGCCCCCAGCGGGATTCGACTCACTCTCGGGTAAGCTTCATACAATATCGCAACCATTAACCAAGGAACCACTACTATGTATCAAGGCGGGGTTACAGAAGAGTTCACGTACGCAACCAGTTGACAAAACCAGTTTTTTGCGGCTCGAACTGTTGAACTGAACAATGTCAAGGTAAAGTGTATCATGCTCAAAAGAAACCGTACACACCGTCGCACGCCTTATCTCGTAGTGTACCTATCGTTGCACGGTTGTATGGAACCTATTCTTTATAGGGATATACTCATGTATTTGTATTCAGCACTTTTTTAACGTCCCATTACTGGGCACGGGCCTCCCTGTGCTACAAGGGGAATCTGGGCATAGTCCACTAGACTCGTCAAGTGCGGGTTGCCAAACTTCAAATGTCTTTCGAAAACTTGCTAGGTTTACTCAAACATGCAAGTTTCCTGACGCTGTTTTCGTTATCATATAGAAATGATTCGCACATAAAAATATCAAAGGTGAGAGACCCGGGATTTGAACCCGCTTGACTCGGTTTTCTAAGCGTACGCGTCACCACAGTGCCTTATACTCATATGCTCCAACATTAATTAATGAACTGTAACCATATATACCTGTTCAATAAGATTATCCTTGTGCTTATACTCTGTGTAATCGTCCACATTAGCCGCGTTCTCCAAGGCCGCCATCACCCCGCGCCATATTGGCACGTAATGTTGCCCATACTGCGTGCGGGCAGCGGGCGCGCGCAACGCGACCGCTGCGTTTATACGCACTTTTAAATTCTTGCACTCTTGTGTTAGGATGGTTAAATTTGAAAACACTTTGCCCTGTGAAAAGATAATTTTAAATTAAGGAAACAGAAAAACGTAGAGATAAGAGAAAAAATAACTACGAGCTCATTATATTACACGACTAAATCTTTCTGTTTAGTCCAAAACATTTAGAATAACATTACTTATATACGAAGGGCATAATAATCTGTACAATTCAAATTATCAGTTTATATACTTAGCAGTTCACATTCACGCCAAAACGTAGTGAAACTTAGTTAGCTTTACAATACTGATAGCTTGATATAAGAAATATCCCATTTTTTAATGATTTTATCTTTATGTGTGCACATAAAGATAAAATATTTGTATGGCTTTTATCATATCCTAAGAAAGCTGGCTTAAAAAAATATTTACATATATTTATACTATAAAAAATGATCGGGTTTAAAATAAAAATAAAAAAATATTGTTTGCACTTAAAGTCATAGAAATAAAAACAAAGTATTTTTTTATTTCATAAATATTAAATTTACCATACAAAATGATTTTAAAGTTAAACACTATTGATCGTTTTACCTGCCATCCATTAAAGCAGGTGAATAAATTTTCATTTTTCATAGCATTGCCGAGAGCGTAGCAAGCGTTCCACCGCACCTTCATATTTGTTACTTTGCACGCGCAATCCAAAAGCTTCCCTATTGCTATATCGCATAAGGACTTTAATTGCGGTTGTCGCTGCAAATTTTCATTTTTGATAAGACGTAAAAGGTTTCCAAGGCCGCGTGTAGCACTCATTTTAACCTGAAATGTAGTTTCATGTTTTTTGTGCATATATTCATTGAATTTCATGGTTTATGAATAATAATGCGTGATATTTATTTATCTAATAAATAATGCAAATTCAATAAAAAAAATTTTTGAAACAACGTTTGCTCTAAAACTAAGACTGGATTTATTTACTAACTAGAGACTTACCTTCGCTTCAGTCGAGTCCCTAAGTACGTTTTAATTTTTTTGAGCGGAACCCTAATTCTTTCTCTAAAATAAAAGTAGCCTATTTGCCCGGAGTTTTGTCCATTGTATCCTTTTCTTACAATATCACGGGACAATGTTAGGTATATTAACGTAAATAATTTTACGGTTTTTAACCGACTTCAAAAAGGAGGAGGTTCTCAATTCGATCGGTTATTTTTATGTATGTACACCGCTTACGCTGAGATTTATGATCTGATTTACGTGATTCTTCTTTAGTTTGATGCGGAATAGTTGCCATAAAAATCTAACATAGTTTGGCCCAATAGTTTTTATTTTATGAACATTTTTTTATGATTTTATGAACATTTTTGTTTACGTGGACGATGTAATTTTATTTTAGTTTGTGTACGGCTTTTTTAAGAGTTTTCATTTTAGGTTGATTATATATTATTATTTACCCTATTATTAGGCTACCTGTCATTGATGCGGAGCGAGCGTGCGGAGTAGAGAAACTGAGAAATATTATAACCAATCGTTACATTATTACCTACTGCAGTTTACAAAACAGTTTAAAAAAAACTACGTATAAAAAACCGACTTCAGAAACTAAAAAGTATAAAATAACTTAATAAAGATTTAATTTAATACAACTCTTATGCAAACCAATACCTTTAATATTAATAAAGTACTATTATTTTATCAGTTTTCTACTTTTAGTAATACAAATAACAATACACTGATAGTTAGTTACCCATAAAAAATAATACATATATAGATATACATATGAAAAAAAACAAAACGATATTTTTAAAACAATGAAAGTACGAAAAAAGGAAACAGTGAAAATAAAAATAAGGTAATTCATTAAAATAAATACACATACAAGCAAACTCGACACTTACTAATTAATATAGATAAGTAATTAGCAGTAAATTTGGATACGCAATATTTACATAGTAACAATACGTAGTAAACTCTTAAAAAAATTCCATATATATTAATTATGAATAACAACACACCTTATCGTTATCGTTGGCGCACTGAACGCTGACCTCGAGTAAGCGGAGTAACAGGTCATCGTCTATATCGTCTATCTCCGGTTCCTCCCTGTCATAAGGAAATAATTATTACATAGTTCAATAAAAGCGTGATAAGTATAAAAATTATAAATCTTTTATGTGTTTGACCAACTTCAAAAAGGAAGAGGTACTCTGTTTGGTGTTTTTATGTGTGTATGTTACGCAATATCCTTTAAATCGATTTTAATAATTCTTTCGTTAATGAATAAGTTATTCTAGGGATGGTTTCATTTAAATTTAAAAAAAAAACCTTTTATAAATCTAATAGTTTTAAACAGCGTATATTTTTACTTAAAAGGTAATGTTATATTGACATAAAATTTCTGACAAATTGACTGACGAGTATATGTACGTCTAACGTATTTCTAGATTGACCAATCCATGTAGGAGTCCATCCACTTAAAACTCTTCGATACTATTAACATGTAGTAGTAGTAGTAGTAGTAGACTCATGACGTTCATAAAAAAAAGGAATTATTTAATGCTGAATAAAATATTTTAAATTAGAATTTGAATACATATGTATAAAAATAACATTTAATTTTTTTTTAAATGAGCAAAATTGAACCTAAAAGTGTTGAATTTTAATTTTTAATGCTTTATTAGACTTTACAGAGACGAAAGGGTTATATATGGGATTACTGGAAAGGTTATATACTTACAGGCACTGTTCATGTCGCGTATTTCATACAAAATATATATTTTTTAAATACTTCTCTTATTCATATAGGAAACTTATTTCATAGTCCGTCATATAAACTACAGATTCTAATGTAATATTTAGTAATAAAACGTCAATAGCGATTAATAAAAGAAGCAAAGTCCATAGAAATTCGATCTGTTTATACTTCATCAATTAAAGTGCATGACGCACGGCCACACGCCCACGTACAGTTGGAGATAGTTAATTAAGTAACTAGTCCTGACCTTGAAACTTTATATTATTTAATAATTATAAATAGAAACATTGATTTTTGGATTATCATAATGTAAAATTTTAACAAGAATTCATCGTTTCGTCGTCATTCGTCATAACTGCATTTTTGCGTTATCGTAGGTTCAAATGCCTTGACATCAGATTAACCATGCGTAAAGAACATGTTTAGTAGCATGAATATTATCTAAGCGCTTCATGTTATATTTCTAAAGAAATTTTGTAATTGTTTTTTGTATTCTTTATTTACAAGCATTGTAGTTAAGACGACCATCTCGCTCTATTAAGACCACATACAAAATTTCTTAAATTAATCGTTGTAAATTTATTACACTTATTTTTAACTAAATTATAAAGCTTCTTAGCTACTACACAATCAGATCTCGTAAGTATACTGTTATGTTCTCCTATATTCAGGTAAAGAAGGTTCTTTGCGAATAAACGACGTCCCAAATGCTCATTTTGAGCACATTCCATCATTACATGAAACACATCATCTACTACCTGGCACGTAGGGTAATTCGGAGAATGCGATTTTTTCATCAAAAAGGCGAAGTTTTTTGAAGTAATGTGTCCAGATCTAAGTCGTAAACAATTCACAATATATTTCCTAGTGAGACGAACAGAGTCAATCCACGGTCTTATTAAAGTTTATGGTTAAATAGTTTTACACCATGTACCCTTTTTTTCCAGATTTGGGATCCTTCGTCACAATGTAAATGTTCTAAGATTTAAAATAAAATTGGTGATTATTTTAAAAACTATATAACTTTTGAATTCTTGATGTATGTCAAGCGTGTATCATATACCTATAACTTTTTAAATTATAGCGTTTCATAAGTATATCATAATAATATACTTTGTAATTGATGTAGGTACTTACATATTCAGAACCAAAGCGTCACTAAGGTTTCCAAGGGCCCAAGCAGCCTTAGTTCTTACAACCAAAGTTTGTTCTGCCAGCGCTCTTAGAATATTCTCTCCACAATCGCTTACAAAACAAATGTCCTACAAAGAAAAATAATACGAAGTTTTGAATATGATTAAAGTTTCAATTTCAGTCGCATCAATATACCTAGAGACAAACGTATTTATGTTGTATACGTAACTGTTTTTAAAGACCTCCAGGTAAATTTCTAAGAAATTAATTAAATTTCTAAGAAATTCATTGTTAACTGTAACACCGGTGTGCCCGCGGTCGTTGAGAAATTAAAATTTATTATTTTTCTGTTTTCCTAGTGTCAACGAGAAATACTATGTTATCAAAGTTTATTTCTGCTACCGATTAATTATTATTATATATGCATGTAAAAAGACATTGGATTCAAATTTAACTGCCATACAACGAAATCCCCGTAATAAGCAACGTATATAAACGGATAGATTTTTAGAAGTTGCAGACTTAAAGGAACATACATACATGCATAATCATAAGCAGAAAGAACCCAATTTTTATAGGTCTAATACACTTTTAGTAATTTACTAAGGTTGAGATAAACGTTTTTCAAATAATGTGTGTACTGGGTAGTACTTGCACCTTACTTATGTTAGTATGAACTGAACTGACTGAACTGACTTATGAAGTTCTGGCACAGAATATAAGTGTACATATATCAGTATTTGTAATATTGAGTGTTGTTTTGTTAAGAGCGATCAAATTCTATGAAGCCTTAACGTCTGAATTACAAATGAATTAATGTTCGATGCATTGTAACTACTAACTATTGAGTAAGTATGTTTGTTCAAAACCCTTGTATTAGTAAAATTGGGTGAAGTTTACCTCTCTAAGAGTTTTGTACATGACCGCCATAGCGAGGGCGCGTACCGCGGCCGCCCGCACTGACGCCTCCTCGTCGCTGCACGACCCTACCAGTAGAGCACAGCACAGCATTTGTGTTCGACTCTAAACATAATTGATAAAATATACATAATTAAAATATATGTTAGTGGGAGTCTAACAGTAGCCTATTGTTACTTTAGACCATAGACTATCTGTTTATAAAATTTTATCCAAATCCGTCAAGCCAAATTTAGCACAAAGAAGAAACAAACACACACACACATACAATCTGTCGTATGTATAATATATGTATATCTGAAGTCCGATATTAGTTATCTTTACTAATAATATATAAATAAATATGTAAATATAAATAGAATATAAATATGTAAATGATGGTACCTTTCTTTGTCTTTGGTTCTTTTTGGAAACAACGGATAAACGTATTATTTTACATATATGTATAACTAACTAAAAACAAAAACAAATCTTTCCCACGGGATCCGTACATTTTTCGGAGACAAAACTATCTCTGTGCCAAATTTCACTCACATCCGTTCAACCACTCTGGCATCATCGAGGAACAAATATCCAAACATCTAAACATTCACATTTTTAATATAAGTAAAATTTATGGGACAGTTGAAGTGGTTACCTGCAATTCTTAGTAACATTTGTTGTATATAAGTTTTAATTTATAATTTGAACAAATTAATATTTAACTAAATAAAAAGATAATAAATAATATTCTCACTGATATATTCTACACAATATGAGATAGCTCTAATAAAATATGTCGTACCGGTAGTTCCTTGAAAGATCTCTCGCCAATGTTAGCAATGCAGTCACAAACCACGGCTTTGGCGGGGGCATTCTCGTGGCTTTGTAATACTGTAGATAGAGGAGTCAGTAGTTTCTCCCACATATAAACGCATTGGCTTAGAGGTACGGGTTGATCTTGTTGTTCTGAAACAATTGTATGAAGCATTATAATTTTAGTATTCTTTGCAATCTCGTAGCAATATTAACTAATCTCATGCAATGAAGAGACTTACTTAACCACCAAAACTCGTGCAATGAAGAGATGTATTTCAATTGGAATGAATTTATATTATTTATGTACCACAAAAAGTCTATACTAATATTATAAAGAGGTATAGTTTGTCAGTATGTGAAGTTGTAGGGGGTACTCTCTGGATCTACTAAGCCGATTTAGATGAAATTTGGTAAGAAGATAGTTTGAGACCCTGGGAAGGTAAGATTAGGACTTTTTATCCCGGAAATCATCCCTTAAGGGGGTGAAAATGAGAATGAAAGTTTGTATTGGGAAGCAAGCTATTGACAAACCCGAGCGAACCGAGGGTGAGAAAAAAATTATAATGAGGTTTGGTATATGTACTAATTTCTGACTTCAAAAAAGGAAGGAGATACGCAATTTAAGTGTAAGCTTTATGTTAGTTTAGTTAGTAGTTGCCATATATTAATAGTAATAATTTATATTATTTCTACGTAGCCCAAACCAAAAAAATATTGCCCCGCTTTATAAAGAACTAACTATACGCTAATATTTTTTATTTTATTTTATAAGTTATCTAACATCGACCTTGAGGGGCATAGCAATAATAGTGGAATATAGAGAGACGCTAGTATTTTATATTGTTAAATATCAATTAAAAACCCAATTTATTTTAGAATATTAGATCCATAAGCAATCTACAAGTTAGAAAAATCTTACCTAACTTTTGTATGGCGTCGCCAATAATACTAATAGTTCTTGCAGATTGCGCCACTATATCCTGGTGTTCGTGTTGAAGCATCTCACTGAGGATGTCTGCTAGCAGGGTGACATGAGCCTGTAGGAGGTCGGGGAGATGGTGGAAGGCTATCGCTGAGAGGACTTGCAATGATTCCAAGATTATCGGTATGGCTGATGGCTTACACTTCTGCAAAAGAAAGACAACGTCATATAAAATCAGCGAATTTTATAAAAAGGATGAACAATTGTTTTACCATAAGGTGGCATTCATTAATTACGTGAGCTTAAAATGGGATGGTCTAGTAAAATCTAATCAAATCTCATTTAATCTGAAGGGGACATAATTGAAAATCTCACATAAAGAAAGATTTTTTATAAGAAAATATTACAAAATAATACAAAAAAATCTTATTCATTTCTTTTGAAATGTATTTTGTCTGCTGAAAAAATATCTAAACGTTGTATTATTTTTATACTTTGTGGAAATAAATGTGGTCCTTTAACAACTGTAGCGTTAATCTCACGTGAGGGGAAGAGATGGGTCCCACCAAATCTCACTTAATCTCATCAAAGAGGGGAGGAGTCTAAATTGAATAAAAACTGATCACATAATTAATGGATGCCCTAAGAAATGGCTAAAATTAGTAAACGTCAAGAATGGTACATTTTATGTCTCTGCTATGCAAGAGAATTCATATATAAAAATAAAGAATGTTATACTTACAATTGTTTCGCTATCTTTAAACAGCCATCCCATATTCTTAAAACAAATATCTAAAATCCAACTCTTAAAACACACTTCATTAGCTTGTTCAGTCTGGTTACTTTCATCAGTTAGAGTGAACATTTCATCGTCAGAATATCCCTCTTCAAAATCATCACACTCGTCATTGAGAGGTATATTTTCCTTATCTATTTGCTTTTGAGTTTTATAAGACACAGAATCTTTTTCCATAGCTTTTAATACTTCATCGATTTTTGGATCAATTGATAAAACACAGCCTATAGTAATTAATGCACCTACTTGTAAAGTTACATCTGAAAAGGAATTTTATAACAGTGATTATTTCCTCTTAGTAATAAGGACTTACCTGCACTTTTGAACAAGCTATGTCTTTGGATCGGTATAATTAAACAAAATAGAATGTAAGAAAATTACAACTCATAATAAGACAAAAACGTTACATGATAACAGCCACTAAGCTCTCTTATTGTATTTCATTAGAATATGGTGACAAATGATATATGTATGTCTGATTGTTTGAAGTGGCATTCATTGTTTGAATTTGGCATTATCTCTGAGTAACTATAGGGGAGTGCCTAAAGATGATTATTGGCTAACATGGAAACCTTAGACACTATGGAAAACATGGAAACTTTTATATACTGAAGTAACTGAACGTGAACTTTATGTACTGAAATTTAGATGAGATTAAAAACTGGTCTCTTCGACGACGCTAGCAAACGTGTGCCAGCCTTGAAAATGAACCTTAGGCAGACCGTGATTCTTTAGATGAGCTCCAATTATTTGATGTATTGCAGTGAGTTTAGCGTAGCGACAGACGGACACCTATTTCACACAGGCATTAAACAGATTTCCTAGTTGTTGCACGAATTTAACATTTGCAAATTTTTTAGCATATAGCTCTTGAGCTCCATTCTGGATGACCAATGAGATAGATATATAGTCGAGATTAATGGCGTCGCCGCTAACCAAAGATCACAACCGCGAATCTGTTATTATCATTATTACTGACTGTCGAAAAAATTGAAAGTCACTAGCGACTCATCCTCCCTTCGCTCAGGTTTGTCCCTAGGCTGATTTCCCATACAAACTTTCATTCCCATTTTCACTCTCTAAAGGGATGATTGCCGGAATAAAAAAATCATATTATGTTCTTCCCAGGGTCTCAAACTATCTTCTTACCAAATTTCATCTAAATCGGTCCAGTAGTTTTTGAGTTTAATCATTACAATTACAAATCCTTCCTTTTTATAAAAATCTCTTTAAAAATGTCTTGCTTACTATGAAATACTAACCTTTGTGCACTAAAAATTTCCTTGTAGATCTCACTAGTTCACTTATTAGTCCTTCCTGCATCTTGTGATAGGGCGTCGCTTGTACCAAAGCAGCACAACATTTCAATGCGACTATGATCACAGCGTGACTCCTCTCAGTATCTAATATACTGACTAATATTTTATGCATACAGGTTATAATATAACCTAAAGACACTGAGAATGGTATAAATGATGTGTGTGTTCTTTTGCTGTAAATATAAATAAAAGTGAGACTTATAATTATTGAATGTCAAATCAATTCAAATTATGTGTTTGTGGATTATATTTTATATACATACTAGCAACTCACTCTCACTTTCCTCGGGTATGTGCCTAGTGAAAAAAAAAATCTATCCCACGAGGACCGTACATTTTTTCGGGACAAAAAGTACCCTATGAAAAATGGAAAATGGGATAAAAAGTACCCATTCCAGAACTTATCTCTGTGCCGAATTTCATCCAGATTCGTTTAGCCGTTCTGGCGTGATTGAGTAACAAGCATCCAATCAAACTTTCGCATTTATAATAATAATGGGATAATGGATTACATAAAATAAATATAATTGAAGATTGATTGAGGATTACAATTTCATTTTGGTGTATAAAAATCTCCATAAATTGTATCAGCTAAACAGATTTTAGTAAAATTTGAAATGGAAGCTCATATCCTAAATGATCTAATATTCCCTGCTAGTGGATGGTGAGCAAAATTATTATGTATATAAAATGTTAATTTTGTTGACATTTTCTAATGAACTGTAGCTGGTAGATTTAATCTTTATATGTTTCTTACCTTGATTCAGCTTGAGATAAATACATTCTAGATCCAGACAGTAAAGTTAATATAACACTTAGTGCACTGGCTCTGCTACTGGCAATGGGATCAGTTATTGCACAATATGCCAATGTTTTCTTTGACTTTTCTTCTCCTAACCAATTGTTCACATCTGGACAATCTGGTAACAGAGCCCACCAGTAACCAAAAATGTCCTTTTTGTCTTTAGTCTGAAAATGAATAGTTTTTGTATGTAATTTTTCACTTTATTTTGTTGTAGAACACAGCAGATGACAATGTGGTAGAGCGAGACAGAGATGGTGGAATAAGACAGACTACTTCCAGAGAGAGTGTTCTATTGTTGCGAAAGATAGGGAGCGATGGAAAAAGAGTAGGGGGGCCTTTGCCCTTCAGCGGTTCATCAGAGGCTTATAATAAAATAAATAAAATATATATCAGATTATAATAAAATAAATAAAATATATATCAGAGGCTTATAATAAAATAGGGACTTCATTTTTTTAAGTCTATATTTCTAATGTTAATAAAAAAAGTGTCAACTGAAGACATTTTATCTCATAAATAGAAATTTCACTCACCTTAAATACTACAAGGAATAAATTGGCCGCACTTTGTCTAACTCTAGACCGTAAAGCAATAAGCTTGGCTTCTCTTCCATTTTCAACGTCGGACAGATCAGAATCACTAGTTAATGTCCAACATGTTCTAGTTTTTAGTGAGTCTAAGTAATTCTTACTAGCAGGTTTGTAAGCTGAATTATTCTCAAAATTGTCAACATCTTTCATTAAACTACCATCAGTCACTGGTATCTCCTTCTTCAAATTTTCTATAGCATTATTCCTTTGTTTTCTTATTTTCTGTTTCTGTCGATAGAACAAATGTAAGTTTTATAATTTGAAAATATTATGACAACTTTGTAACACTTTAGAGGTACATGCTCTCTATAGTAATACCTGTACTTCTATGCTCTATTAATATATTATGGTGATTAAGCAAATTTTTAATTATATTAATATTTATTAAAGAAAAGTTTATATTTTCTAATAAACCTATATTATTTATTTCTGTGATAGAAATAAAATATATTATAAAATCAATGAATATATTATTAGTAATGCTCATGATATGAGAGATAAAATATAATAAATACCTTGCCCCCTTTGGCATTGGGTTTGACCGGTGTAGCAGCAATAGACTGCTGGGCAGGCATTATTCTTTCAGGCTTATTCCCTTGATTTACAAGTCCATATAAAGTAAAATATCTGCAAATCCCAATTATTTCTGACATAGGCAAATCCACCTTTTGGTCATTGAAATAAATATGTGACAATATTTTTAACGCTGATATTACTACCTGTAATAGTTATACACTTTTGTTATTTAATTATAATCCACTAAAATTAAACTATAATATCCATACTTTCTATACTAATATTATAAATGTGAAAGTGTGTTTATTTGTTTGTTTGTCCTTCTTTCACGTTAGAACAGAGTGACAGATTGGCTTGATTTTTTGAAGATAATTAGAGGGCTGGAGAGTGACATGGGCTAATTTTTACTAGGGGAGATCATACCAAAAGCCGGCAGGTCTGACTACTCGGATGCTAAATCCTACAGACCAATAAGCCTCACATCATTCCTACTTAAAACTATGGAAAGACTATGTGATAGATACCTAAAAGACAACACACCTTTACATAGGAATCAACATGCCTACAGTTCAGGCAAATCAACGGAATCAGCCCTCCACGCTGTAGTATGCAAGATCGAGGAGGCGCTAGATACCAAGGACATATGCCTAGGCACCTTTATCGACATTGAAGGAGCCTTCGATAAAACTAACTTCACCAGCATCTGAGCAGCACTCGATAGACATGATGTGAACCCAACAATATCAAACTGGATTCAACACATGCTCGTAAATAGAGTAGTCAGGCTGGGAAATAGCAACAGGGAGCCATCGTTGCTAAGGGCTGTCCACAAGGAGGTGTACTGTCGCCTCTCTTGTGGAACCTGGTAGTTAACAATCTCATATCCCTGCTCAATGACAACAGATTTTATACAATCGGCAAAGACTGATGTGCATGGCAGTAACGGGCTGCATGAGAATAACACCCACTACGGCCCTGGAAGCCATGCTAAGTCTTCTGCCGCTGCACTTTTTCATCCAACAAGAGGCTGCGACTACCGCAACAAGATTAGATAATCAGAAGTTGCTACGAAAAACAGGCACGCCACATACAAAAATTTTGATAGACGTAGCCAAAGACATCCCGCTCATGCGAGCACCTAATGATGGAATCCAAATCAAATACATTTTTGACAAAAAATACAAAATAGAGCTAGAGTTAGACAAACACGAAGGTCGCGACAGCAAGGACCTTAGAGTATACACTGATGGCTCAAAAACTAAATCAGGGACAGGTTGCGGGATCTTCTCTGACGATGTAAACATTAAAACTTCAATACCCTAGGTACCTACAACACCGTGTTTAAAGCCGAATGTCTAGGTATCCTTGAGGCAGCTAGAACAATTGCGAAAAAAGACGTCAGACTTCTCTATCCGCATACTATCAGACAGCATGTCAGTACTACAGGCATTAAATAGTAATTCTACCACCTCAGGTATGATCTATGAATGTCATAGCACTTTGACACAGGTAAGTGACCAAAACGAGGTCTCCGTACAATGGGTCAAAGGCCACAGTAACTCGTGGGGTAACGATAGGGCCGACGAGCTAGCAAGAAGAGGATCGGACCTGAACGCAATAGGTCCCGAGCCCATCGTGGCGTTAACTTCTTGCTGGCTCAAAGGTCAAATACGACAACGCACAAGACGACTACACGAAAATATATGGCGTGAAGTCGTAGACTGCAGGCAGGCAAAGGAATCGCTTCCTATCATTAACGCTAAAACGACTAACCGTCTGATTAATCTCAATAGATCTCAGTTCAGACAGATAACCGCGGCTCTAACAGGCCACGGACCCTACAATAAACACCTATTTAACTTAGGTATAACTGACAGCCCACTCTGCAGAGCCTGCATGAGGGCAGATGAAACGGCTGCACATGTAATCTTACATTGTCCAGGTGTACCGGCGTACCGGGCTCAACATCTTGACACCCCTAGTACACTCCCGGAGGTCTTCGGTAGGACGAAGAGACTACTGAAATTCCTGGAGGAACTGGGCTGGCAAGAATAAAACAATTGGAAAAAATTTCCCACACACGCAAAATAGGCGCGCAGACGTCGAGTTGCGGAAACAAGCCCGTTTATACCATACAATACATACCAGGGGAGATTATTTCATTCCCACAAAAAAACATATTATAATAAAAATCAAAAAATTACTTATCATCAGAATTACTTGAAACTTGGTAATAATGCTCTTCAATACAATTAAATAAAGACGTGTTTTAGCATTTTTCGAAATTCATCATATAAGATGGTAAAATAAAGGATGAAAGTTTGTATCAAACCTACTTAGCTATTTTTTTTGTAGTTTTAGCGCAAGCAAATCCCCGGGTTCTGCTAGTATGTATATATTTCATAAATAACTTATATATAAGAAATTTTAATACTATTTAGCCTAGACCATGATCTAGACAATAGATAAAAGAAAGCTATTGTTTTAGCAGATGGTACATTAAGTTAAAAAATTATAGTTAAAGGGTAATTTTGGCCTGAGATGTTATATAAATATATGTTCAATTTGTTCACAACAAAAAAAATTTTACTCCATTATCATAATTATAAAAATACTCACTTTACATAAAATAGACTCATCTTGGGATTTTACTTGACCTTTCAATAATAATTTTATGACAATTTTAGAAACCAATTCTTTAATCTCCAGCAATATTTCAATCTGTTCAAATGATTTGCTTTCATCTATTGTCAGTAAGCATATAATACACTTCAATGCTAGCAAACATATTTGCAGACCATTTGAATGGTTTGAATTATTCTTATCAGAGTCTATGAAGTTTAATAGAAGTCCCTGCTTCCCAATTAATTCATTTATAAACTGAAACATTAAAAAATAAGATAAGCAGTTTAAACAAATTCATAAAAATATTATTTTATAAGTCAATATTAAAAAATAAGATGCATCTAAACCTCATGATTAAACACATACCTTTAGTCCACTCAGTGGATTGATTGTTAATATACATTGCAAATTGTGCAGAATATCAGGTAAAATAATATCTGAACATTTTTTTATACAATCAACATGCCAGGCAATAACTTTCCATAAATAGTCACTATCAAACTGTATATTTTGTTTAGTAACAATACTTTGAATTAAATGTGACGTTTTGGCAGCTAAAAATTCGTCTATTGGTTTTATACTAACACAAAGTGATGTTACAAGAGCTGCAGCATCCTGAAAGTATTCAGATCATTATATTATATATTTTTCTCCGCTATCTTGTTCAAAGTTTTTGAAGCACTTGCCTGTTTCCTTACAAATAATTCTGCTTTGTAAGGTTGAGCATTGAGTTCATCAATTAAGGAATTAATTTTTTCCTTATTATAATCTTTAATGTAAAGATTACTGCAAAGATCGCCAGACAGAATTTGGAATTGTTGTGATGCACTCATTTTTATTAAGAGAATAAGCTCATATATAATCTTTTCTATATTCCTTTTATGTACAAGCTAATAATAGGGAATTATAAAAATATTTTATATGGTTTTATAGTATAATTGAAACATGTTTTTAACTTTCCCATGGTTGCATATTGAATTCATAGACCAAGAACAACAATTGAATTGATTTGATTCAATTCATATAGTTCTGCTGTCACTGTCAAGTGTCATTATTGTTTATCTTGGAATTTATGTCATTTTCACTTTTTTTATAGTATTTTTGGCCCAGACTCCAATTAATTCTGCTATCGAGTATTTTTTTCCAAGGGTAACAGATTTACCCCAAATCATCGGCGGCAACGGTCAAACATAACTAGTATATAAAATGATTCCTATCTCACAGAGAAGTATTGCTTTATGCAACCAATCTTACACGTGTTCATTTTCAATTTCATAAATGAAAACTAAATAAATTGTTGAGTTAAAAAATATTAGGATTTTATGGTAAAAATATTCAGAATATAAGTTTACTTTGTGTCAATGTGTCTTTAAAAAAGAATTATTTAAAAAAAAATGACAAAACAATTTTGACTTTCTTACTGTTTATGAGCTGTATTTTTTAATGTTGTCTCTTTTATCTAATAAAATTAATGAAAAACCCAAGGAAACATTTTCCCACCCTTGGGAAAAAACTACCAAAGATACGTACAGGAATTATTTTAAATGGGCGCACAACTCTATAAATAATCCTCAATACCCGAAAAAAGAAGTATCTCTCCAAAATAAAGATCGGGTGAAGTTTACAATTATCGGAAACAGAGTAACTAGAGAATTTATTTATTGTACTCATTTAGTAAAAACTTTGCATAAGTATCGTCAAAAAGTATTTGATGCTCCTTTAATAAGAGGTTAGTAACACTGGTTGTTGTAAGTACCTAGAATATTTTAATATTTAGGTGTTTGATAAATGAATATTTTGCTATTGAGCTGTCGACTGCAAATTGTTGCTGCTATTTGTATTAATCATATGAGACAAAGCCCGGTTGTCTGCACGTTTTGACTAAACAGAATTTTGAATTCTGAAGAAAATGGAATATTAATTATGTGTCCTTATATTCCCGCAAGAATATAGTATATGTCCATTATATTCTTTACAAATTTAATAGCCCAAAGATCTAAATATATTTATTTGTATTCTTGTCTTTACCACGTATTAAGGTGTAACAACAATAGAATGGCCAAAAATTTGGGATGATTTAAAAGTTCAGTATGGAGGCTTAGCCTACTGTCTAGAAAGTCAAGTCGCTATTATTTTGAATGATAAATTTCTTGGTGGAGAAAAAGAATTGAAAGAAGTAATAGAATCAAGATACCATTATCATGTCACATTAGATTATTTTAAAAGTGGAGTTGAAAATTTTGCCAATTTTATTAAAGCTTCTGGGGTTAGTCGATATCGTTATTATATATCCTAAAAATCATGAATGAATGACGATTATGATGATGTCCTCATATTACCGACAGATTTCAGCCATGCCGGCCATCTCTCACTGAGAGTAGCCGACTGCGTAGGAGATATTATATTGCAAAAGTGTACGCGCAAATGCCCTCTCTATTCATATTCACTCTCATACTTTAGTAGGACGACAATTCGACACGACTAATGAGAGTCGATGGATTTACGTGCTCTTCGCGGCACGGGCATGTAACACCGCCAACTTTCCAACTACGGGGTGTTAGAGTCTATATACAGACAGACTCAAAAACTATACTTAGCCCGACCATGGACTCGACTCCAGCACCTTCGGATCGGCAGCCGTACATGCTAGCCACTAGATCACCGAAGCACTCATAAAACAATAGCACTTAGACAAATTAACTATATAATTATAATAAACGTGAGTTATCAAACAAACTGAAAAATAATTTTCAGAGACCATGCGCGTACATGCATATTTCAATACATGATGAACACGCTGGTAGCCTGATATTTATGGCAAGTATAAAAAACACAACTAATTAAACAGTAAATCTACCGCTCTAGTGCTTAAACCTAGGGTTACCAAAGCTAGGGTTTTCATTGTTTTTTAATCAGTCGGCTAGCTGGACAAAAAATAATTTTTACGTTAAAAAAATGCATTTCCATCTATAGCGCTTACCTCAAATAATTTATTAGAATATAAGGCAAGAAAGAATCAATGGGTTTCGAACTCTCTATGTTTACCATATAACATACATAATAGCGTTGTTTAAGTTTAAATCTTTTATGTAGCTGTATTCAGATATAGTTCCTTACACTTGCGAAAATTTTCTTCGACTTTGTCAAGCTATAAAGGGCGGATATTCTGGTACTCCCGTCCACCGAATAGTAAAAGATGGTTGGATACAATGCGGTGGATTTGGTTTGAAAAATACAGATTTAGACTGTGAAAATTTTATTATTCCACATGATAGACGTGGTGTACTCTGCATGGCTAATGATGGCAGGTAATTAGCATCCTATGCAATATTCTCTGCATATAAAATCAATAGGTACCTCATTAATATTTCAATTTTTAACTAAATTGACTAGGTATAATGATAATTTGTGCTGAATAATATTTGCTAATTAATTTATTTAATAATTTTTATCAGTTTATTTTACTGGTTTCTCGTGCTTAACTTAAACAGTAAACACAACTGATCTTGTGGTAAATATTATTATTACCTAAAGAGTTACCATTGAATTTGTACATCAAGGGTTAACTCATTATTAAATTAAATTCTTTATTAAAAAGTGCAACGGATTAAAAATAAAAGATTTAGCATCTATAGTTGTAGGCAATCACAATTTGATTACACCGCCAAGTAACGGTATTTTTAGTAAATCATTTATATAGTTAACTCATAATTAAAAGTACCTACCTATATTATATACCTCTAAGTTACGCAATAAAACAATCGTGATTTAATAATATTTTATTATTACACTAGCGACTCATCCTCGGTCCGTTCGGGTTCGTTCCTAGTTACGTTTTAACGTTTAGTAGGACCTATAGATTTCTCAGAGATGACATATTTTCCCACTCTAAAAAGTTACTTAAAGTTAAAAGTTACTTATATTTTGACCAGGATAACCAGCTATTATTATACCAAATTTCATCAAAATTGGTCCAATGGTTTTCTTGTGATGCATTTCAAGACAGACAGACAAAGAGACGACTGTTAAAAATTCTAAAAACTATAGATTCGGCCTCTGTATCTATAATAATGACTATTTCCATAAGATTTTCTAAAAAATATTTAATGTGCAGATTAGTTTCTCAGTTAGAATTTTTTTATATGTATAGATTTACATTTGAACGTTTATTAGGCATACAGATTGTTCTACACAATTCTTTGTTCTACTGCAACCGGCTACTTGGATGGCTCATAAATATGTTGCTTTTGGACAACTCATTGATGGAGAATCTACTTTGAAAGCAATTGAATCATCCCCCACATTTTACGAATCTCCTATACACAATATAATAATACAACAAGCTGGTATATTAAATTTAGAATATCAAGATATAAGAATAAATAAAAGTGCGAACGAATATTTACAAAGACATATAGAGGATCTTGTCGCTTTGGGTGATCTACTATATGAAGTATGTGTTGATTTACTACGCTAGCCTCTTGATGATTAGCGACTTTGAATACACTTTTTTATTCTTCATCTACAGGAATTAATAGGTAGGGTGTTCCTTGAAATGGATTTAAAACGTATCGCATTAGAAGAAATGGAGAAAGCGGAAGCAGAAGAAGTCCCAGTGGAAGATAGCAGAATGAATATCCGTCCAACTGAGAGGTTGTACTTTAGCATAGCCTTAGCAACTATGCAAATTGCTAAATTAGTAGTGCGTAGGCACCGTGTTGGCAAAATAAATAAACAACAGTTAAATCTGCCATGACAGATTTTGTTGTTTTTTTTTTAATTTTACAGATATCGAGTAAATCTACAGATGCAGCTTATTAAAAAAATTATATTTGCCTCTCAATTACAGATTTATTCGCAAAAAAGAAGATATAGAACAATTACAAAAAAGTCAAACCCTTAGCGGCAAGATTTCATCCATGGAAATTTTAGAGGAAAGCAATGAATTTGACGTAGAAGTGTACGAGTATGAGCCAGAGGAGTCTTACAAACACGTATCAATAGGAACCGTTAGTCTCGTTGTGAAACCTGTGAAACCGTTTTATTTACCATTCACAGATGTTCCTTATCCTGGTGAAGTTGATTCTACATATGATTTAAAAAAGTTAGTTTTATTTATTTAATTGATGAATAATAATAATGAATTCTTAATTATTATACCTATACGTAAATTGTATCCGAAGAATCAAATGTTTTGATTATAAATAAATTGGTAGAATCTTATAAGAGGTAACACAATATGGAATGTGCTTCATAATCGATTACGAAAAGAAAATCAATTTGTATTATTTCTTGGCCATTACTAAATATAGTCTTTTTTTATGACAACCAATTTATATATTTATGTTAGTTACAATAAATAGGTTTACACAATACTAAGAAACAAGAATGAAATGTTCTCACCAACATTATTTCTACATAACTACCTCTTATCGAGCTCACCATAGTTGGCACAATACCCCGTAGGGAACTATTAGTTAATCTGTGCTCAAGGCCCAAGCAACCATCGATAAAAAATGTTGTCAGTCTGTTAGTGCTCGCTAATCTAGAGAACAGCTGAATTGATTTTAACGAGATCTTCTTTTCTCTATTGCCAGTCGGCAAAAAGAATTCTAATGTGACTGATAAAGATTTGGTTTTATTTTTGTAGCTGTGTTCTCGCGTAATAATAAGGGCAGTTTAAACGATTTCGAAAGAATTTTTCTAAGGGCTAGGAGAGTTCTATTCAAAATTGATCTGCAGAAGGAGGGATAGAAATTCCAAGAATTTTTTGGCATAACGTGTATTGAGGGCCGTAGTGAGGCAAGACCGAGACGCATGTATAATACTCGTATATACGAAAGGACTGAGGAATCAGGTCATAGTCTACCACGCTGTGAGGGTTGGCGGACTTGATATATGCCTTTCGAAAACTAGTTAGGTTCTCTCAGACATGCAGGTTTCCTCACAATGTTTTCCTTCGCCGTAAGACAAGTGGTAATCTTATTGGAAATGATGATGATTTAGCCCGATTCACTCAGTTTTCAATACGAGCGCGTTACCCGGGCTACCCACTGCTTTTGAAGCAGTATAAATAGTTTAAATCTGTGATCGGTGATTAAATACTATATTGTAACATTGATATTTGTATGATATTTCACAATTGGTTTGGCTTTCATAATATTATTTAGTCTAAAGTTTTAGTTGAAAAATGGTTAGGCATGTTAAATTTGGTAACGTTTTTTGTTTATTAGATTCTTACGAGGTGATTACTCCCTTGAAAGTGACTTAGTAAAGGAACTGCCTAAAAAGAAAGTCGAAGCAAATATATCATTTATATCAGAAATTTATAATTTTAATGAGGAAGCTGAAATGAATTCAGGTAAAATTATAAAATTTTAATAATATTATCGATATAATTACAAAATAATTTCAAAAGTGAGCGTATAAGAGAAATGTGATAGGTAGAGATACCTATACCTATATATAAAAACAATTGTTGCAGTCGAATCCTTGTCCTCGGAAGACGAACAAGAAATAAGAAGATATATAAAGTAAGAAATAAAAATTAAAGATTTTTATCCTACTACCAACCTATGTACCTACGCATGTATCAGTAGATACCAATAACGTTTATGAGTTACTAGCGACTCACCCGCGCTCCGCTCGGGTTCGTGACTATTTACGTTTTAACATTTAATGTAGATTTCTCAGAAATGAGATATTTTACCACAGTGAAAAGTATCCGATATGTTGACCCGGAGAACCAGCTATGATCATACCAAATTTCATCAAAATCTGTCCAGTGGCTTTCTCGTGATGCATTCCCAGACAGACAAAAATTCTAAAAACTATAGATTCGGCCTCTGTATCGAGAATAATGACTATATCAACAAGATTTTCCCAAAAAATATTACAGATTAGACTCAGAATTTTATTATATGTATGTATACATCATCATCATCTCCCTGCCCATTTCCCAATCAATTGGGGTCGGTGCAGTACACCTTCCGTACTGCTGTTAGGATTTGGCAAAAGTTTTACGACCGGCCGCCTGCCTGACATCAACCCTCCTTGGGAATGCTATTGCTTATCGCGGAAAGTACCCAAGGTGCGATGACCAGCACATCTAATTTAGATTTAGGTATTAAAATTATCTGATGCCAGTAATTTTTTCACCACTTTGTTGCAACAATTCCTTGAGGTTAGGCGTTCATATTGCCTTAATATTGGAGAGTTCTTTTACGTGTTGTAATATGCATATTTCGAAGGTACGGTTTTTTTTAAAAACTTTTTTATAGTATTATTCAAAGTTTTAATATAACTTCTGATATATTTTGAAATAAATTATGAGCACACAAAAATTTTGTTTTGACGTTATCAAATTTTTCATTTATATGTAGGTATGTACAGATAAATAGATGAAATTGATGTTATGGACCAGACCTATAGGTATATTTCGTTGGTCATTTAATAAACTATTTTGAAAACAACACAGGAGTCAGGATATACACAATATTACATATACAGGGTCATTTTTAATTTACTGAAAACCTTGTGGAAATATACTATTTACGTCATAACAACAACATCTGTAACAAGAAAAAATAATATTTCTTTTTATTTTTATTTAGACTGAATGTAGATCGTGTAAGCTTTGCTGGCAGCATCATCAGAAACATTGCTCGAGGCGTCGGTAAATACAACATCTTCGAAGATATAAGAAAGTAAGTTATAAATATTACTAGTTTTATTTTAGGTAGGTACATTAATATAAAATATTACTGATTTACTTTATTGATTGACTTTAATGGATATAACAGTTGTCTTTCATTTTAAACATTTTTTAGATCAGAGCCTATAACAGACGAAGAACTAAGAAGATTCAGGTACCTATATAATTAGATGAAGTATATTTCTTAAATCAAATGCTTTCTTATATAATATTGAACATTGTTTTATTTTTTAATACTTTGTATTTATACAGACTGGCATCAATGGATCGTCGTTCAAAAGATGCTCATGAGAAGTAAGAAACATTTTATTAAAATAGAATTTATCAAGTTCCTATATATTTTTATATTTTTCTTTTTGTTATTTGTTTTTACTAGAAAAGTTTCTATAAGCCTGCCATCGACTAAAAGAGAACCCAATAAAATTAAACGCCGTCAGACAGGCTTCGTCAGGTCTGAAGATTTAGAAAAAATATATCTATTAAATAAATCTAGTTCACAAGACCTCGAGCCTGAAGAAAATGGATCTTTGACAAGCACACGGTAAAATAGTTGCCTTGAGTTTGTATAATATTAGGTACTTAATTATTTTGTTTTTAATTATTTTACGTGTACAATAATTTTTAATTATTATTTTTTTAAGGTTCCGTAGCGTAATATAATTTTGTCATGTCAGTCGGTCTATCAGTCCGTATTCGGATTCTTTTGCTACTAAATAGCATATTTCGTGCGTTGTTATAGCAAAGTCCGTATAGTGGAATCGGCGATAGCAACACAGACGTATAGCAAGACCCCGCGCAGAGCCACCGGCTACCCGCTCCCGCGCCATGACGTCACCGAGTCCGACGCGGACGTGCGCAGGAAGTCCGCACTATCCCGCCTGTACGACAATATGGCGGTGGACTCTGATGGGGGACCAACGCTCAAAGATTATAAGTATGGTTTTTATTAAGGCATTCGTTTTTATGTCATTTTTCTGTTTTAGTTTTTCTTGTAGGTATACATAATATAAATACATATTATGTACCTTTTCTGTGGCGAATAGATAGATGTCTCTGATGGCATTTTTACTCGACTGTGGCGAAGCCTAAATGTATATATGACTAAAGACTGACTTAATCGGTTGAAGGTAGTTCTGCAACTTCCGGTAAGGAATTTCCTTACAGCCTATATATACGTACAAAGCAGAACATCAAAATTTAATGAGTTATTATATATGTATTTAATTATTAAAAATAGCTCAACAAGCATATTATACATAAAACACCTTAAATATCTCTCTCATATTCATTTTTTATCTATTAAAGCCAGTTGTGTAAAAATTTCAGACCTTCAGGTCGAGCGTGTCATCCAAAAACCTTTATTTTAACACGGTCACCAATAGATCGTATGAAAGATGAAGAGTCTTTAAAAGATAATAACTATAATTTACGTCACTCTATAACCATCGAAGACAGCTCTTTTGAGCAGGTGCTAAACATGCAACATGGTAAAAAAGCTGCTAGAAAGATCTCCTCAGATTACATAAAAACAATCGATCAAATCGAGCATCGCAATGAAAATTCTATACGTAGTGTGGAGTTCGCTAAAACTCGCCCCTCACTCTCAGTATCTGAATATCAACAAAAGAACTTGAAATATCAAGAAGATTTCAAGAAGAGGTCATCCACATTGAGTGAAGGTAAGGTACGTATTAATGTGTAGATACTGTCCATTGTCCGTGGGATTGAATCAGTAATCTCTCAGTAGAGAATAATTATTAGCCATTAAAATCACTTCAAAGTTTCCGAGTTTACTTGAGCCACAGATCATATAATATTACTATACTAGTACCTGAGCTGTAAATTGTTAAAGTTATTTTTTTTTCCTTTTAATTTAGATTCAAAGCAAACAATAACTGGTATACGGCTGCCAGGAGACACGCCATTATATTCAATGATTGAAGTTAGATTTAAACACTAAAGTAAAATATTCATTTATTTACGTATGTATAAAAGTATTTTATTTTTATATATCATGTAATTTTCAGATGGCTGAATAAATTATGAAGACGTCAGTATTAGATTTAAAATTATATATTGTTAGTTTTGTATAACAAATTTAATATTTTAATTCACGTTTTATTTACACCTCTGGCAAAATATTTATAAACACTACTAAATATGTAGGCAGTTACAAATGCCCAGCCATAGATAGCGCTCTCGATAGGAAAATCGAGTTAAATCGAGTCAAATCTCGTGTCTCTAATATTTTAATATATTCCATACATTATTTCAAAAAATATATTTGATACCTACGCTGTCACTTTCCAGAATTTGATCATGACTACCGGTACTATTGAATGGTGCAATAACACGTTTGTTTAATTTATCAAAAACTAAGGCAATAAATTAATTGATTTTGCTTATTTCATTTTTATCGAAATCTACCTCTTGATTACTTTAAGCATTTTTCGCTATTCCACTATTCACCTCTCTCCACATTCTTCCATTCACAACCACTTTTTTAAATAAAAAAAAGAATAAGAAAAAAGAAAAACAATTTAATATCACTGCAATTGCACATAAAAATTTCCCTTCACAATAATATTTAATACTACAAGGTACAACATGGTAACATCATCACAATCCATTATTGTGTATATTGAATTATTTTGCTCTAGTTCTATATAATATGTACAAGTCATACATATCACACTGTAACGCCACAAGTCAATGGCACTGACTACATGAAAAAAAGTTGTAAAGCAGGAGTCTCCTTACAAATACTAAATTCGTCTCAGTTTTCTTTAATTTAATATAAAATGCCTTCTAGATATAACTTTGGTCTTTAAATTTTATAAATATACTTGAGAATCTACTAAATTGATAGAAAAGGAGAATCCTGTGTATGATGTGTTTCATATCTGTTTGCAAAGCTTATTTTTAAACATTTATGTAGTGGACTAAATTTTACAATACAGACTATCTTATGCAAGAATGGGAGTTAACAGACTAATAAACGTTTAGCTATATTTTTATACTGTCCAACTCAATCTAGATAACTATATTACTATTATTTTAATAGTTACGCGAAAAAATAATAAAAGTTAAATAAACCGTCCATAACTCGATCAGCAACTTCTTAGTCTAATTAATTCCCGTTGAAACTGTAAAACATTAATTTAAATCTACATATTTATAATTAAATTTCGAGCTACAAAGTACATGTATTGTATTTATTTAAGCTTAAACATTTACTTATGACAATAGACGAACAAACAAATCATGTTTTGCATACATTGGAGAGCATGTGCGGTAAAAATATTTGAAGGTCATCAAACTAAACCAAGTCCACAAACCGAAAAACCACTGTCTTTGTTCCAACAAGATTCTATAGAGCACCCTAAATTTATTATCCTACGTGGCCATCACCCGCGATTTCTTTCAAAATATATTTGTCTTTCATATTAACAATTAGTACGATGTTTAGAAACAGAGTCAAATCTTAGAGAGTAATCTGGTTCTTAAAACTCTATTAGAAGATTAGATTAGGTAAATTTTTTATTATTATATAATCCTCTTTAGTTACGTATGTAGTCTCAACCGATGTTTTCAAAATAGCACACCGTTTACTGATTCATTATAACCAATCGATGAACAAACACGACCTTTCAAACCGTTTCATAATAATATTATAGTAAGTGATAGTATATTTCAATAATTCGCCACTCTATACTGATAAAGGGGACTTATTGTGGTACATTACTTATGAATATTTTTAATGCATTAATAATGAGACTAAAATTCTATGTTAAGAAAAAAAAATAGGATAATTAAGTAGTACCTGTACAGATTAAGAATGAGTTCTGCACAATATTGTTAATTATTTAAGCAGTAGATATTAATTTCGACTATTATTATTAATTATAAGAAATTCTACGGTATGTTTAGACATAACGTTGCTGTTAGAGGTAGTACGTTATTAAAATTAGTAAAAAAAATATCAACTCTGTTTTTTAATTTGGAAAATTTTGGTTATGTAGTTATTAAAATAATGTCAATACCACTCATAGCCCATTTTTTATCTGTACGAGTTATAGATGTAAATAACCGCAATATGTCCCTTTTATATCAATAGAAATACATACCAATATTTTAATAAGAAATAAATATGTAAATATTATCTTAATAATTATATATTTCTTTCATTAATGGCCATGGCCGTGTCCGAAGAAACCCGCGCCGTTGATTTGTGGAGGCGCCATGTTGTTGTTGATGCCTTCAGCATTGCTTTCGTTGTTAGTACTGTTTCTGGTCTCCAACTGTTGCTGCCACATTGAAGCGTAGAAACCGGCTTGTTCTAGTAGTACGTCGTGACTGTAACACATGGTGCATTATTTATTTTTATATATTAGTACCTACCTGGGTGACCCGAGCTACGCTCGACTTAGGCACTAGTTCAGTAGGTTATCATCCATTGGCGACAATGCAAGTACTACGAAATTTTAAGAAATGGCGCTATATGACATTGTCAACATGAGACCAGATAGAAAAAGGCTCAAACATAATTAGTTGTAAAAAAATGAAAAAATCTTTGGAACACTTGGAAAAAGACAATATCTTAGCTTAAAATATAGGATACGTTTTATCCTGATAATATAAAAAAAAGACAAAGCCGCTCAAAATAGTATAAAAATATAATCTGTATATTAACTTAAAAAAACATACATTTCATATAATCTAACTATTAATACTTTCTTAGATTTACGCGAATGTTTGACATTTTTAAATAAAACTATCTTTTCGGATTATTTCGCGGATTTATTTTGATTTTTGGTTCCCGACGTTTCGAATGCTATACAGCATCCATGGTCACGGGAGAGACTGAGGTGTTACATGTCTTGAAGGTATAGTTGTTACAGACAGCCTACCCACAATTAATAAAATGAAAATTGCACCAATTACATTACAATATTTTTTAACTTTAAACATTTTTATAATTTTAATTATAATTGAATATGGAATATTATTTATTTATTTTTGCTATTATTTTTATAATTATTACAATTTTAAAAATATTAATTAGTAATCTATATTTAGTGTTGCCATTATTACACTTATAACCTTAAAGAAAAATATAAAATATAATATTAATTATTTAAGCCATATAATTGTTCTATGTGTAATTTAAAAAGTTAAAATTAATTAAGAATAATAATTTTAATTTAGTTTGCTATTATTTAAAAACAACTTACTAAGCAACACTATTACTATATACTTTTACAAATGAAAAATATTAATCTGATAAGCTGTCATTTTGATCTACACAGTAAGAACTTACTACATCTATCTGTCTGTTATGTTTATATTTATTATTTGATTTTATTATATTAATAACAGGATCCCATGACGATGGTAGTACCCAGCCATGCTGTAAAGCATTCGAAACGTCAGGAACCAAAAATCAAAATAAATCCGCGAAATAATCCGAAAATATAGTTTTATTTAAAAATAATCTAACTATTGTTAAAAATCGTTTAAATTAGCAAATAAATGATTTTATTCACTCACCTTCCTCTCTCTATTATTTCACCGTCTTTGAGTACAAGAATTTCATCTGCATGTACGATTGTTGAAAGTCGGTGTGCAATTATCAATGTTGTTCTGTTTGCGCACACCCGAGATAAAGCCGCCTGAAAATATATGACACTTTAGTTTGTACAATATGTATATTTTTTGTTTTACAATCATTGACCAGACAAAAATTCCAGATACACAATTAGCGTCTCAATATTGCCGTCAAAAAGAAGTGCACAATTCGAAATTGTGCGGTTTTTTCAAATCTCTTTTGCTTATTGCTATTCGGATGTCAAAATTAAAACGCACGTTGTTTCGTTTAAAAAAGTACTTAATGCACACCGCATGTACGTAAGTTCAAATTTGTGTTAATACAATTAGAACTTTAATTTTTGAAATTTATTCTTTGGTTTGTGTTTTTATATATCAATGTGTACGATACATGACATAATAATTAAATTCTATACCAGTACGTCTACTCCATCCCATACAAAGAAATTAGATTTGTTCTAACTGAATAGACTATTTCCATTGTCTTTTAATCCGTATTAATATTATAAACGTGAAAGTTTGTGAGTATGGATATTTGTTACTCTTTCACGCCAGAACGCATCTGGATGAAATTGGGCACAGAGATAGATTATAAAGAAGTATGGAATAGCACATAGGCTACTTTTTATCCCGAAAAAACGTACCGTTCCCGTGGGATAGATTTGCTTTTGTTTTTCTAGAAGCGAACCCGAGCAAAGCGAGGGTGAGCCGCTCGTAAATTATATTTTCTTACTCTACTACGCTTTCTATTGATATTTTTCTTTTGATCAGAATCCATGGTTTTAAAAATTCATTATCATTAAATTTTAACACTTTTCTTAGGCTAATCCAAAAAATTATCGTACTTGTATATTTCGTTCTGTGTTCGTGTCTAACGCTGATGTGGCTTCATCCAGCAGTACGATGGCGGGATCTTTGAGCAAAGTTCTAGCTATGGCGATCCTTTGTTTTTCACCTCCACTCAAGCGGAGACCTCTTTCACCGACCTATAATTGTATATTAAAAAATGTTACACTTTTCTTATAAACGTATCTTTATATAGAGTGATCTACTTAATAGGAATTACAATTATTAGTTGAGTCCCCCTCATCAGGAAGTAGAATAGAACAGTGAATGGGTCAGGAATTATTGAATAAGCTTTTATTACATTGACTTCACACATACATATATAATGATGTCACAACTTTACTCCATTGTATTGTCAATCCCATTATCCCATTAATATTATAAATGCTAAAGTGTGGATGGATGCATGTTTGTTCCTCAATCAAGCCAGAACGGCTGAACGGATCTGGATGAAATGTGGCACAGAGATAAATTATAGTCTGGAATAGCACATGGGTTAATTTTTATCATTTTTACAATGAAAAATGATTGAATGAAAAATGAAATTTGTAAAAGTATATAGTAATAGTGTTGGTTAGTAAGTTGTCTTTTTTAAATAATAGCAAACTAAATTAAAATTATTATCCTTAATTAATTTTAACTTTTTAAATTACACATAGAACAATTATATGGCTTAAATAATTAATACTATATTTTATATTTTTCTTTATGGTTATAAATATAATAATGGCAACACTAAATATAGGTTACTAATTAATATTTTTAAATTGTAATAATTATAATAATAACAGCAAAAATTAAATAAATAATATTCCAGATTCAATTATAAAACTCATTAAAATTATAAAAATGTTTGAAGTTAAAAAATATTGTAAGGTAATTTTTGCAATTTTCATTTTGTTAATTGTGGGTAGGCTGTCTGAAACAACTATACCTTCAAGACATGTAACACCTCAGTCTCTCCCGTGATCATGGATGCTGTAAAGCATTCGAAACGTCGGGAACCAAAAATCAAAATAAATCCGCGAAATAATCCGAAAAGATAGTTTTATTTAAAATTATATAAGCTGTTTACTTGAGTATCATAGGCATCCGGGAATGTGAGTATTCTGTCGTGTATATCCGCCATCTTAGCCGCTGAGATAATATCGGCGGCAGTGGCTGTCAGTCGTCCGTACTGTATGTTATACCTGGAAAAAAAATGAATAGAATAACTTAAACTATTTTTACCTGAATATCGGCAATTTGCGTCTGTTTGGTGTTTTTTCGCGAATGTCGTGACATCCGTCACATCGAACTATGACTATGACTGAAGTAAATGTAATTCAGTAAGACTGCTCCCAAAATTTTGCTTCGGAAACGGGAATAAAAAACTAAATAAAACAATACAATTTAATTTATGTAGGAAAGTCTAACTAGCGATCTCATGAAAGGTTCTGCTCGACCTGGGAAATACCATTTTTACTCACAAAATGATATGATTTTTGTTTCGTTTATGTTAAAGGAAGGGCAAACGAAAACCAAACATACATGAACACATTTTCTAAAATAATATTAGTATTTCTGGCCGACATCGGACATGGCGACCTAACCCTATGAGCCGATTACTTTCACTCTCCTAATTCGATGGGACGACAACTCGACCCTCGCGATCACAAAAATTCGTCATTCGCTGTAAATTAGGCACAAGACCGACAGCTGTACGTGCTTACATAGAATAGGGGTACAACACTGAAACTTACCAACTAAAACAGGGTTAAAATATTCTTAACTAGCGACTCACCCTCTCTTCGCTCGGGTTCGTCCCTAGCTTGATTCCTAATACAAACTTTCAACCCCGTTTTCACCCTCTGAAGGGATGATTTCCGGGATAAAAAGTATCGTTTGTCCTTCCCAGTGTCTAACTATCTTCTTACCAAATTTCATCTAAATCGGTTCAGTAGATCCAAAGATTATTCTCTACAATCTTACAAACTCACAAACTTTATCTCTTTATAATATTAGTATAGGTAGCAAAACCAATTCACTATATTGGCCCGAGCGGCACTCCAACCCAGATCCAAAACCTGATACATCCTGAAGATCAACAGTGAGACATGCCATTTACTAAACGAATGAAGCAGTTTTCAACACGCACCTAACAGTATTATTAAAGAGCACAGTGTCCTGCGGCACGACGCCGATGGCGGCGCGCAGCGAGGCCTGCGTGACGGAGCGCACGTCCTGCGCGTCCACCAGCACGGCGCCCTCGTTCACGTCGTAGAAGCGGAACAGAAGACGCATTATTGTCGACTTGCCCGCGCCGCTGGGGCCCACCTGCTCGTGATTATAGTGTAATTAATATTCTATACAAATATATTTTATTTATTTATAAGATCACCAACAAACGAAACATTATAACATCCACGGAAAATAGAACTTAGATAGAGTAGTACCTTAATTATAGGTGATAATGACATTCAAAAAATAGTACATGTAAAGGCAAAATAACATTTAGAATATTAAAAATGTTTATGTTAAATATGTTTTAAAGAAAACTATCTTTTCGGATTTTTTCGCGGATTTATTTTGATGTTTGATTCCCGACGTTTCGAATGCTTTACTATCATTGTCACGACAATTCGAAAAGATAGTTTTATGTAGAATATCAAATATTCGCGTAAATCTAAGAAAGTATTAAATATATTTTTGTTTAATTAAGATTTAACACAGTTATGGTGATCTAATTAAGATGTCTTTGCATATATAAGTGAAAAAAAATCTTGACCAAAAATCATTTTTCTTTATTATAATCAATATATATTTTGACCTCTTCAATAATAACTCGCATATATGCCGCTACTAACGGTTTCGTCCGACCAGAATAATATATTTGTATACACGCTCATACAATCCGAGCTAAAACAACTAGCGCAAAATTTATTCTGCACAATTTTTAATTTCGTTGTTTAAGTGAAATAAAGAGTTTTAATATAAATAGGCAAAAACAAAAGAAATCAATAACTTTTTGTCCTGTTTGTCAACCGGTGTTCTTTTTCTCTGGTTAATAAGTATTAATGACTTTTAGTGTTATCAAAAAGAAAAACAATTTAGTATTCTATTCATCCTCAAATTTTCAATAATCATTACTATGGACGAATTTTGGTCACTGGGCGAACACTAGTATATTGAAATATTCTTTTTGATCAATCAAAACAAGTAAACTAATCTTACATACCAAAATAATAAAACCACCCAAGCCTACGTCCTAAAAAAAATGTGAGTGTGTGTGCTATTCATACAGGGTAGAAATGAAACCTTAGAAAAGTAACCTACGAGAGAATGAGATGAATATAGAGTATCAGGAGTAGGATAATTATATGATTTTTTTTAATATTTTTACCAAGTTAAAAAGATATTTTACATTTTATTTGACAAAAATATACCATACATATCGAATACGAATTATTCAGAAAGTAATTTTGTTATTTTTCACTTACTGTGTAATGTAATTCTATCTTAAATAACAACGGTTACCATGGCAACATGGCAATGTATTCTCTCATTCTCTCACCGGCTTATCCTATATATTTATGTGTTTGTCCCTTTTTAGTGTTGCATTTCCGTTTCATCGAGTTTTAAATCACAATGATTCTAAAGAAGTTTCGCTTCAAAAAAAAATTCCATCCATACCAGCGCCACAGTAGATCCGGGTTGGACTTTAAAGCTGACGTTGTTCAGCACGAGGCGCTCGGGCCCGTAGCCGAAGGACACGTGCTTGAACTCGAGGCCGCCGCGCCGCACGAGCAGGTCGGGCGCGCCCGCCGCGTCGCGCACGTCTGTCTCCACGCGCATCAGGTCGAACATGTTCTCCATATCCAGGAAGTTCTTTTGGATTGCCCTGGATATATAATTTATTGTTACTATCAAGTATCAAATGAACGTAGTTATGCAAAATGGCGTCCAACCTACGAAAACCGTTTTTCGAGTTACTGTCATAAATGGCACATAAAGTAGATAAAATTCCAAATATTTTAGAGGGTTTTTCAAAAAAACTGACGATCTTGTTATTTTGATATATGTAGCAATTTTATTAAAACTCCTGTTTTCTCAAAAGTCAGTTTTTATGGTAGGATTTATTTGGCATAACTACATCAAGTTACCCTTTCTTCGCTATCTGTGAACTAAATTACGTAAAGTGCGTCCTTATGTGCTTAGCGGTTTGCACAATTGAATGGCCACATCGTCCTACAAATAATATGGTAAGATGGTTCTGTGCTACGCTCGGATACTATCTACAGAAAAGAAGAGAGGAAGGTTTCAGCTTGATATTAACCAATACGAAAAAGGAGTGTGAAGTGTGTGAGTATTACTACGTATTTTATTATAATATCTTACTCACCTGTAATAAGTACCGAACCAATTCAACGGTACGTAGAGCTGAACTATATAAGACGCAAATAGAGCATAATCTCCTATAGTTAGCTCGTACGTTCGGACAACCATGGAGATAGCCAAAAGAGAACCCGCCAGGAGACCTGTAAGACAATGGGACAATTATTTTACTATTCAAACTGCTTGTAGAAAAGAGGGTAAGTAGCTATTCAGACTACTGTTATAATTTGGAAAGTTTGTATGTTTGTTACTTTTTCACACTGTAATGGCTGGACGTATTTCGACGAAATTTGGTCTACAGATATACTACGATTTGGAGTTACAAAAAGGCTACTTCTTTTTTTCTTTCCGCTATGAGCATCTAGGGACCCATCTGAGTGAAGCGAGTGTACGTCGCTGGTAAAAGATAAATGCAATTTTCATAATTTTAAAATATTATTGACTTTCATTGAAATGTCACTGTACAGGTATTTCCAGTTAGTTTTGATTCTCTCTCTCTCTCTCTCTCTCTCCCTTCTCCGAAAGAGAGACATTCCGCATTTTTACACTCTAGTTATAAATAAAGTATATCTTTAAAAACCTATTTCACTTAAAGTAAATGTTCTATGAATCGACATTTGCGCTTACAAATTTAATTATTCATATTAACGACATAGTTTATTATAAGTAAAGACTAATTAATTATTATTCATAATAATTTGTAGCAATAAAAATAAACAAAGTGTTAAATAATAAATAATTATGCTAATTTATTATTCTCATATTACTCACCGGTACAGATAATAATGTTTTGCATTGTGTTTAACATGTTCAAAGTTATCAAGGATTTGAATTCTTCTTTCTGTAACAAAATTTACATAATAATTCATTAACTCATATTGATTTTTCATTGCAAATTTTGAATGTGAAGTCCGCAACGATCGATCGGTCAATTTTAATATAAACTAAAATTGCATTATTGTATCCATAATGGAATAACTTGTGTATTCAGCCCTTTTTAACATCAGCTAGGCACGGGCTACTCTTCAATATGAGGCCATAGTCCACCACGCTGGCCAAGCGCGGGTTGGCGGACTTCACGTGTCTCTCGAAAACTTGCTAGGATCTCTCAGACATGCAGGTTTTCTCGCTTTATTTTCCTACACCGTAAGACAAATGGTAATCATGTTGGAAAAGATTAGTACATAAAAATATAAGAGTGCGACACGCGGGATTTGAACCCGCTTCACTCGGTTTCATAAGCGAGCGCATTACCACATGACTACCACTGTCTTTTTTCTCCTCTTGCTTGAAATGATCTTCAGGTATTACGTTTTAATGAATTCAATGATCATAATAGTTCAGGGATAATAGTTCAACTTTAATATTATTGTAAAATAACTTATGAATATACAGTAAAAGCTTCTTATTCGTGGTTTCAGTATTCGTAGAAGAAAAAAATTAAGACCACTTCCTGTATTAGCGACCGAAAATCTCGTTATTCGCGGATATGCAACTTACTATTATTTATAAGTACAATTTAAAAATAGATTATTATATATTCATTTTTCAATATTGATCGTTTTCAATAAAACCACAACATTGCATAAAAGTCGGTGGCGCCAAGACATTTGTCATGCGATGGTCGGGGACCAATCAGAATAAGACTTAGGCGTGGCGGCGCATTCGTAAAAGGTAAAAGTCACAATGGCGTATACGTATAACCTACCAGCTCCTCTCTGTCTTGAAGGTAATTTATCAGAGAATTGGCGGCGTTTCAGTCAAAGTTTTAAAATAGAAGCAGCAGGGCATCAGATACTAGATTAAGCCTTTGGTAAAACGTGTGCAAAGTGTCAAAAAACCAACCACTTTGCAAAAGTATGTCGGTCCAGCAATAAGAACACCAACAAAAATGTCTCTGAAGTTCATTTGGATTCTGAAACTGAAGATAACTACTTTTTTGGTTTGTGTAGCAGGTGGTAAACAATCAATTCCAATCTTGTCGCGAGATACTTGTGTCAAACTTAACTTGATTCAGCGCATGGAAATATCAGAAGTTAGCAAAGTAAGTAGAGACATTATTATTAATGAAAACCTAGATCTTTTCTGCGGGGTCGGCAAAACCATCGGAGGGTGAATAGAATAGTTATTGTTGAGAAACCCAATGGTTCAATCCGAATATGTTTGAATGGAACAGTAAGTCCTGATCCTGATTCTATAAAAGCTGTTATTGATTATGATAAACCTACTAATAAGCATGATTTACAAAGATTTTTAGGTCTTGTTAATTACTTGCATTCATTCATTCCCAATCTAGCTAGTTTAAATACTCCCCTACGAGAAGTTAAAAAAAAAACGCTGAAAATTTCATACATATATATATGGCAGAAAAGTCTTAGTTCAAACAGATCATTTACCACTAATATCAATAATGAAAAAAGAGATTGCAAGTATTCCTTCTACAAGATTACAAAGAATAAAACTAAAACTATAGTCTTGAGAATAACCTGTTATATATAGATAAAAAATTATATATTCCCGAAAGTTTACGGAATTTACTAATATGTAAAGTTCATGATTGTCACTTTGGAATTAATAAAACTAAAGCCAGAGCTAAAATGTTGTTCTCTTGGCAAGGCATAATGACATTGAAAGCTTTGTAACTGCATGTACATTATGCAAAAAATTTTCTCGTAACAATATTAAAGAACCTATGTTAATCAGACTTCAACCTGAATAGAATTTGTAAGACTAAACTTCCTATAAATAAAACATTGTTAAAACCTAAATTAACTCCAAATTTCAAGCCTCAACTAATAATTAATTTATAAGGATTAATTAATTAATTAATCATAAGATTTTATTTATTTGTAAAAGTAGGATGTGCTATATTTGATTTATAAACGATAAGTATCATAAGATTTGTTTGTAAAAGGAAGATGTGTTTCATAAACCACACAGAAAGTACCCGGATTAAGTGACAAAACCGTGTTTTGTTCAAATTCAAGGAATTTGTTAAAACTTGATAAATGTGCAATGATAATCCTTTTATTTTGTGTAAACAATCGTAAAAATCGTAAAACTTGATTTTATTCTTCTTCAATATTTTTTGTTTGAAAACAAATATGCTTCCAAAATTTTGGACGGTAGTGTATAACGCCAATCGCTATGGTTAAAAAAAACGTGTGTGTGTACTTATGTACGCACATAAGAAGTTTTACTTCATGGGCTTAACAGAACATAAATAGCTAAAGATTTCATCCAGTATGTGATAACTCTCTGTAAAAGGAATTGATAGCAGTCTAAAGAACTCTTATTTGTTATTAAATTGATTTTATTTTGTTTTATTTCCCTACTTTTGTACACAACCCCCTACATTTCCTTAAAAATCACCATCCCATATTCACGGTTTCCGTATTTGCGGTATAATTTTGGAACATATACACTGCGATTAAGGAGCTATCGCTATCCAATTTGATTAAAAGAAAACAACAAAAACTACGGACACATCATAGTTTTAAATAAATCTAAAAAATGGATAAAACAGCCAGATATTCCAAACAGTTACAACTTATAATTATTGTTATTCTTTATCAGAAGTGAAAAACAAATTATTGCAAATTTATTTGCATATGTATAAACAATGATGTAATCCCTGTGATAATAATAATAAATCTGTTGCATTGTAATAGTTCTCACCTAAAGTATAAGTAATAAAGCGATGATAGTACCATTATTTACCTTAAACTTACAAGAAATTATTACAATCAAACCGTCACTCAATTAGCTTTGTTTACTTCTACAGAGTTGCTCGGTTTGATTCTCGCACTATTTGAGACAAAATTATTCCATTGAATTTTACAACTCAATTAGAATCACTAACAAAACGAATTATAACGTCTTTTGATTGTTTTTCTCGAGGGCCTCTAACTATTTAGCCCTAACAAATACAAATCTTCAAGGAGGTTTTCATGCAGGAGTTCCAACTCATTAGCAAATAACTAATGGTAAGCCTTTGTCTTCAGGGCCCGGAGTTCTGTAGAGCATTAGTTCTCATGATATCGAGACAGTCTTTGGGAACTCCCACTTGCTCCTCTAAAAAAGAAGAAAATATCCAATACCCTCTACCTGGTCCCTTAGACGTCGATGATCAGGGTTTTTGAAGACGTTATCATCTTCATGCGTTCTTCAGACCTCCTTCAACGAAACAACGGTCTTATAGACCTGATACGAGATTAGCCAATCAGCACCTATTATGACTTGACGTAGACCTTAAACATGGCCCCTTCAGCTAAAGTGTCCTCTGCAATAACAATAAACATAATTATATGTATACATCACCTACCTGAAATTTAGTTATAGCCTCTCTATAGGACACGACTTCATAGGACTCTGCGCCGTAATATTTGACAGTTTCATAGTTGAGAAGGGAGTCGACGGAGCGCGCCTTCTGGTCGTTATCGGCAAGATTCATTCTACGCTGGAACTTTGTACGCCACTCCGTTACAGCTATTGTTGCGACTGGAAATTAAAAAATAAATGAAAACAATCAATAAATATATAGTAAACTGTTCATATTAATATTGGAGCAGAAATATCAAAGACATTTTTTTTACTATCGTTTGTTGGTTAGAAAACGCTTAAATAGTTTTGACGGAGGAGACATTTCAATTATTCCACTTTTGAATAGATATATAATATAGATTAGAATAGAAATAATCCAAGATGTTACTAGTAATGAAGAGGGGACTTATAAACATTTATTTAACAAGTTCCTATAAAATAGAAGAACATTTAACTTATGGTGGCACAAATTATTATAATGTTTCAAAAAACAATGATAAAACTAACTCATCAACGAAAAAATCAAGACAATGAATTTATATATAAAATATAGCATTTACGTACTTATGTAAAGCAACATTGTTGAGAAAACAATGAGTCCAAACCACACATTGAAGGCCGTCACAAAGTATATCACAGCCACAATGATATCTATGATGGTGGGCAATATTGAGAATAGAATGTATGACAGCAAGTTGTCTATGGAGTCTGTGCCTCTGTCCATGACTCGCAGGACTTCCCCGGTTTTGCGTGATAAGTGCCATTTTAAAGGTAAGTCGTGCAAATGACGGAACAACTCTAGCTGGAACAAAATTCATTTTAATATTGGTGAGAAAATAAAGAAGCAAGTATGTATTGAAAATAATATAATTGAAATTTAAATTCTTTATTAATAATTGCGAAGTATTTTTAGTTTTTCTTTATTTGTATAGTATACTAGCGACTCACCCTAACTTCGCTCGAGTTCGTCCCTATCTTGATTCCCCATATAAACTTTCATCCCCATTTTCACTTCCGGAATAAAAATTCTTACCAAATTTCATTTAATCGGTTCAGTAGATTCAAAGATTACCCCCTACAACGTCACAAGCTCACAATCACATAAACTCACAAACTTTACCTATTTATGATATTAGTATAGATGAAGCGACATTTTTTTTATTATTTATCAAGTGGTTATCTTTAGTTACTAAGGCGCGGTCAGTAGTATGTAAGTTCCAACACATCGCGATAGGATTCAATTATTCGAAGAGTCAATATAAAAATTGTTTACTTAGTTTGAATACTGACTTGAACGATTACACCGTTAGACTTTCCAAATATATTATCTGTATTTATAGATAAGACTATGGACACATAAGCTACTGTTATTTGTTAGACACATAAAGACACGGCCGAGTAAAACGAGGTTAAGTCGCTAGTATGGAATAATAACATGCAAGCCCTTTATAATTATACAACATTGACGACACGTTTGACTCTGTTTGTAGTGACCCTACTTCCTGTGCCAGCGGTCGCGGGTTCGAGTCCCGTTGGGGGTATTTATTTATGTGAAGAGCACGAATGTTTGTTCTCCAGTCATGGGTGTTTATATTTATAATATGTATGTATTTAAAGTTATATACGTGTAGAGTATTAACTAACTGGTATCCATAACACAAGTCTCGTAACTTACCATGGAACTAGATTGTGTTGTGTGTTAATATCCCAACATATTTATTTATTATTTATTAACATGTGTGATGCATGTCTCTATTTATACAACTTACTTGTAATTCTCTAGTAGTATACTGTTGGACTCTGATCCATAAGAAAGAGCGGAAATTGTTCAACAGTCCCATGCCACCGGTACCTCCGCCTTGAAGGAACTTGAAAAATACGTACGTCACCACCAAATCCCATCGGAAATATAGCGGCGGTATCGATAAGCTATTCACTGAAAGTAAAAGAAGAAATTAAATATTTGTGAACACATACGTATAAATTGAGTGTTAAGGTGTTCAATTTAAAAAGCACTATTCGAAAAAAGCTTTAGATTAAGGTTTTATTTTATACCTAACTAGCTATTACTCGCTATATTCAAATCAGAGTGGAAATTCTAAAATTAACGTGTTCAAACAAACAATATAACAAACTCTATAGTTTTATAAAATTAAGATTTCAGAAACAAACGTAAGTGCAATTCGTACTTAAAGTAACATTTTTAATTTACTATTTTTTATTTTACTCTCACTCTTCAGGTTTTGGTTCTTACTAATACATATTAAATTATTAATAAACAATCTTATAAGACGGAAGAGACTAGCTAGATATAATTACATACAATATTTTATTGATTTGCAAATAGTCAGCTACTTTATCTACATGTACCAATGTAATATGTGTACTTATGTACGCACGTAAGAAGTTATACTTCTTTGGCGTAACAGAACAAAAATAGCTAGCGGTTTCATCCCGTATGTCACAAATCTCAGTTTGTAAAAGGAATACAGTTAACTTCATCGGCTGTCGGTGTGCGCGTGCATCGTAAACATTTTACTCTCATATTTTTTTCCAAGCGTGCCAAAATAAGTATAACTTTAAAAAATTCACCAACATTTTAAATGCATTTTAAAATTAGTGTATACTTTAACTAGAAACAAAATGGTATTGTATGACTCTTATAAAAAGAAATATAAAAAATAAACCGAGATAACATTTAACCCTAAACAAACACATATATGCTCCGACATATAATTGGTGTGATCATATATTTTTAATTATACAATTACACATGCTTTATATTTTTAAAATTATACATATATAATAATAATGCTAATCATATAGGAAAAACTGGATAAAACTAGACAAAACTATTATATTCGAAAATTAGGTTTGGCCGGTAGCATATAGACAAAACACTTCATACATTTTAAATTATTTTTCTTTCTAGATGCTTTTGTTATAGGTACTATCGTGTCTAACATTGTGGGCGGTGTTCTCTGTTTGTAACGTTTTAATTGACAAACCTCGTGATCAAATACATGTTTGATATTATTTAACTATGTGATTTGGTGTTAATATGACATTATAATATGATTTTTTACTTAGAGTCAAAAATATAATACTCTAAAGAAAACAAGAGTTACCGCCGGAAGGAAATTTAATTATGTGAGCAAGACGGAAGCGTTTTCCCGCGGATCTACTCGCATAGTTCAGGTATTTATGTGTAATTGTTCAGTTCCTAAAGGTCGAAGCGTGATGATAGCCTTATAAACTTCCTCAGTAAAAAGTCTATCAAATACAAAAAGTAGAAAGAATTTGTAAAATCAAACTTCATTCGAGAGATTAGCGCGTTCATACAAACAAATCCTTCGGCGTTATATACTTATTACACTACGGATAAACACTGATTAATTATCGACGAACTATCTCCATAAGGCAGCAAACGCTTACTCATAGCGAGGACAAAATTTAATACACTTGATATACAATCCGATGTGGTTTCGTTGTAATACGAAACTTAATAAGTTGCAAAAATAAAAGGCATTGTAATATGAACTATCATACCATACAAGAAAAATAGATATGTAGCGATTCGATTTCCGCATGGAGAGTACCTATGTCTGTATAAAAAGTTTCAATGTCATTATTGGAATTCAGTCAAAAGATAACAATAAACTAAAAAATTACAATAAACTACAGAAGTTGTTAAATAATATTATTTAATTGTGAAATATCAAATAACCAATCACAATTAATTAATATTTCATAATTTAGCAATAAATATAATTTTACATTTTATAGTAAAATCAAACTTACTGATCTCCTTATTGTAAATAGGTACATATAAATTGACGACTCGTCCAGCGACTAAAGCCAATATACAAATTAGTACGTAGATCTGCAGACATAAACTTTTCTTAGGCCAAAGAAATGGTAAAAGTGTTCGCAGTTTGCTAAATACATTGCGAAATGTTGATCTGTTGTCATCCTGCAATTAAAAAAATAAATTTAGACGAAAATTGCGAAAACGCAAGGACTTCGGCCTAGTGCAGATCGAACTAGTCACCGATGAAACCCCTGTTTTAAAACATTGTATGTATGGGCTCATATTATTTTTCGATTGTTATTTATAGTACATTAGCGAATTAACGTCGCGTCCTCCGAATACGTCCCTAAGCTTGAGTGGTTTAGAAACTCATAAAAAACAAACGTACAAAGAAAAATTATTTTTTGTGCCAGGAACCTTCGCAGGCGTACATATGATAATCCACAGTTTCATCACAATCGGGTCAATTGGTTTAGGAACGCATAGAGTATAAATATACTAACATTCATTTTTATTTATATAGAAGATAAATAGATAAATGTGCAAACATTGAAGTCAATTTAATTTTTTTGTTAATGCCTTCAAAACGTGCCGGAGCGCATATTACTTGACCAATGTTACGGAATAGAGAAGACATGAGGGAGACTGGTCGGTAAGAAAAAGTCTTATTTATAGCTCTTGAGTGAGGATTTTGGTTTAGTTTAGAAGTCTGGTTTATTTTTTTTACAGTAAAGATGAAGGAACAGATAAGCCTTTTGATAGATGAGCGTAGTTACATAAATCGCACACGTAGAGACATCTGAAGATACTCATTGTTTTAAGTGACGCATCAAACGAATTATTATTATTATGCGTAATAATAGCCGTCATTATAAAATATTCTATCTAATCTATTGTAAACAAACGGATAGTGTTGACTGTAGGCTTTATAGATAGTACGGCCATGACAACGAACAAAACCATTATATTAGCTCATTATATAGTCATTTTTATTCATAGGTTAGTTAATTGTGTTCAATAAAAATAAGCCACCAGAAGAAACTTTCCTTTTACTTTTTTTGGATACTTGGCTTAAGAAAATTTTCAATCTTTGTACTGGGAGTAAAATGCGGCCGATAACACTTAGATTAAAAATTAAAAAAAAAACCCTACGCAAATTAATTGTCACTTAACGATTACACTTTCACGCGTAAAGCACTTAATCGAGTAATCATACGCCAAAATGCCTTACATCATTTTGGAAAAGAGCTGATACTCTTACACTACTGGACCGATATTAACCAAACATACCTAAGAACCACCGCAAGGAAACTGGCTTTCAAACGAAAAAAACTGCATCGAAATCGGTCCATCCGTTTAAGAGCTACGATGCCACAGACAGATACACTTATATTTTTATCTCAAAGTTAAAATCAATAACTTCACCTATCTTATCGTTCATAATATGTACCTAGCATATCATTATTTACATTATAAATGCGAACGTCTGTTTATTTACTGTCCTTCTTTCAACAAATTGACATCATTTTTGCAAATCATAATTTATGCTATTTAGAATAATAAATATATCGTGGTACTATTCAAACTGATGTCGTTTATTTAGTAAGCGTAAGTATTACCTAAGCCCTTATGTAAAATAGACATAAGTATATTACCCTTTTCAAGTTTTAGTAAGCATACATCTAATATCTAATCAATTGAGTATTAAAACAAAAACCCGGTTGTAATCACAAAACACTGTAAAGTACGTTGTAACTACGACCTTTTCATAGGCAATAAACATAGAAACTGAGCACACTGACTGACTGAATGAGAGACATATGAGTAGAAATGTTAAAAACAGGTCGGAAGATGAAAAATAAAATAAAGAATTACGTTGTACTCGTATCCCCATACGTACATTTTTATAAAAGAAAATGTCAATTTAGAATATTTAATTAGAATCACTTTTATATAAAACTACATTTACAAATCCGTAATACCTTACGCTTGAATTTTTTTTCTTCTGATAATACAATTAAATGATTTTGATATGAACATGACATCTTAACCTATAAACTTAATTAAAAAAGATATAAATATGTTATCTAAGACAAATGTCAACCATTTCTTTTTAATTTAACAAGATAAAACTTTTCGCGGGAATTGTAAAAATAATGACGAACTGAACTGTTCATCATCTTCATGTTGGTAGACCTGACTCTATATGTTAAAAAAACAGTTTCATGTGTGTAAAAGTAGGGAAAAAAATTTATTTTACAATTATCACATTAAGTTAGCGGACTGTTCCACTGGCAGCATTTTTTTTATTTAACACATGATAGATAATGTTCCCTATGTTTTTCTCCCTTTATAGAGTATGAATTAAAAAAAAAAACGTTATAACCAACAAAAACTGCAACTGAAATATTAGTCCTTTCAGTCCAATTGGTCGAGCAATGTGGTTTGAGCAGTAATGAATACTTTTCTGAGACTCCTTTAATAAGTTCACATTATTATTTGCACGACAGCAAAAAGAACCCAAGTTACATTATAATGTTTTGTCTGTCTGTCTGTACCCCTTAATATTAGGAATGGTTGAACCTATTTAAAAAATATTTTCACTAGCGGATAAATGATTTGAGCGAGAGTAACATAGGCTACATATCTTTTATGCTATTATAGAAACGGTTTCTGTGCCGCGTAGCTGATTCGAAATAGCCTGACGCCTACGTGTGCAAAAATTACATTTTATTTAATTTCAATTATTATATCCGGAATTGCATCTAAAACACAAAATAAGTAATAATATTGTATGTAAAATTTGGGTATTTTATCTACTTTCTGTATATAAATCGATATGCAGGTGTCATTTATGTTAGTAATTCAAAAAAACGGTTTTCGTGGGCTGGATCCATTTTGCATACCTACGTCCAATTATAAGGGCCTGCGCACATTTTGTTTTATAAACGCGCCGACGACTTACTTACCGACGAGCATACTTACATCACACACGCTCTCACTATATACTACAAACACATATGATAAGCCGCGCTACTTTTTGTCACTCACAAGGTGTCGACTTCGTGTTAAAAATTCGATTAGTCACTAGACTAGATATATGTATATGAAGTGTATATGCATTGCGTGCGAACGTATTTTAGTTCACATTGTCGTGGTGTATGCATAAATACATTTCCCAATGGTAAAAAATAGAATTGCATTTGCACATTAAACGGTTGTATTGTGTGAAGGCCCTAATATGTTCTGTTTATATAATATACTCTGATTATATATATAAGTTTATAAATTATTTTTTGTAAAAAAATACTTATCATTACAACTCATCAAAACAGTAAAGACACAGAGTAGCTCAATATTTTTATATATCTTTATATTAAGACAAACAAATAAAACATTCTGAAAAATATACATACCCTCAGAGGTATATTCCTGTGATTTCCATCATCACTATCAAGATATTCAAACTGGTGCATTATGCCTGGAGCTTTCATGCCAAGAATGAACATTATCATGCAGGAAACATATCGACCCACAAACAGGGACATTTCCAAGCGGTCTTGTAGACTGAAAAAAACAGAGTACATTAATTTCTTGGATATTTACTTAATTACTTCTATTTATCAAGAAATGTTAGTTAACATGACAATGTTTGCATATTGCTTAGTAAATGTCTGTTAAAATTTATCTATATAAATAAAAATGTATTGCTAAATATGTTGCTAAGTGCTAATCTCGAGAACAACTAATTAGGCAATATTTTATTCAAATATTCGCTGAAGTCCAAGGAAGGTTCTTATGAAGAGAAAAATCAGAAAAAATAGCTGGAAAAATGTAAAAACACCAAATCTAACTATATAACTTATAAGGCAACTCACTCTTTTAAATGCCACCACCATCCTTCCTTGTTGATATTCAAAAAGGATAAATTTTCAGACACAAATATCAAGGCCCAGAACACAAGTAATACAAAGCCATGGCCCCGAGGTGGTACTGATGGCAACAGAAATCGCCTCTCAATCACAGCTAAGTATGCAGATAATGGGAACACTATTAAGTTCACCACTAATGCTACTATCTAAAAATAATATAATCTGCTTACGTCATAGGACATAGTTAACAGAAAATAAAATATAAGGTAATGTTTAAAAATATTATTAAAAATAAAAAAGTTATATACTATATACTTCATTAAAAATAAAAACCTTATATACCTCAAATTAAGTTTCAATACATATTTTTTATTATTTTATTATAGAATTAAATTATACATTTTTAAAAGTTTAATATTGAATTTAATAAATCACCCAATTCTTAAGATTCTAAATATTACATGTATATTTATTAAAAATACACTATAATAATTCTCACCATATATCCATAGATATGCCCTCCTTTAAATATAAAGGCCTGTAAAAGGAACCTCACAATAGCTAATACAGGTACAAATAGTGTGAAAAATAATTGCACTAAAAATAGCTTTGATGATCTAACATCCACTACTTCTGTAGCATATCTGGAAATGAAATAAAATTTGTATATTATTTCAATTTATCTAATATATAAAATTCTCGTGTCACAGTTTTCGTTGCCATACTCCTCAGAAACGGCTTCACCTATTTTGATGAAATTTTTTGTGCTTATCTGGTATCTATGAGAATCGGCCAACATCTATTTTTCATACCCCTAAGTGATGAGGATAAGGGTGCTCCCCCCAGACCCCACCCCAGGGACGAACCCGAGCGGAGCGAGGGTGAGTCTCTAGTTTAATATAAATTAAGACACAAAAAGTTTTTGGATGTATTTTTCCTTATATTAAAATATGATTCTCCTTATAATATTAGATATTTATTGAACTTGGCTAAAATTATGCATTACAGATACTCTTTGATTATTTAATTATTGATAATATGATGATCAAGTAGACTTCTCTGTTGACAGAATGTGATTGTAAGACAAGCATTCTTGTTACATAAAGTCAATGCTCTAAAAAATATCATTTCATTATTTTATTATTCATTTTATATTGCTAGTCAATGTTATGATTGTTTTATTTTTCGAAATTCATTTTAAATTGACTTACCTCTTATACATCACAATTTGTATAATCCCAAACACGAGAAGAAATCCACCAATAAAGGAAGCTGAAACTGTCTCCATGAAACATTGTGAAATTCCATGGTCTATCCATACTTCCCCTAAAGTTACATTCGGTGGACAATACTCCATCTGGCCCCTTCAAGCAAAATAAATGGCATACAAGAAAAGAGTATAACTATTGTAAAGATAGAAACAAAAACACGATTAGATCAAAAAATGCCGGGCGGCATTATTAATGACCCGCAATATTTGAAAGATTAAATATTTTTCTTATATCATTTAGAAAATAATTATTAGAATAGTTTTTACTAACACGCGGTTTGCCAAAAAGCAAAGCGTAGTTTAGTATAAGAAAAGAACTTTTATAAAATTACAAACATGAAGCATTAAATATCCACCGTATACTTAGTACATACACCAATATTATACTTCTAACATTTTTTTTATTTGTGATCATCAGTTGAAATAATATTTATAAAGTTCATTACCTTCTGATGAAAATATTGTATAAATTATTACAATTTTAATCTGTGACTATGACTAGACATTACAATATTTACGACAATCAGCGATGAGCGAACTTAGGTTATAAAAATGACAGTTGACAAATTAGAATGATTGTTAACCATGCAAAAAATCTTTTAAAATACTAAAGGAACCATTCAATCTGTAACCACTTATTAATAATTTCATTTTATTTATGTAGTAAAATTTTAAACCATGTACATATATTGTATTGTGGCTTGAAAATAATTTCATACAACTATTGAAAACAGAAATTAGTTATTATACTTTGTTTTAGTAGTGTTTAAGTTTTTATGCGCTTTATTTTATTACTTTAATTGAACGTAAAAGTAACAGTTAAGTAGAAATACATTCTTTAATTCAATGCAATAAAAAAAGGTGTATTAGAAAAAACACCATCCTTTAAATGTTTTAAAATCCACAAACACATTAAATAAACTAAAATATAATTTTTATTAATCATGTTAAACCGATATTTCAGTTATATAAGGTCCCAACATGAAGAGACTTTCATTATTTTACTCATCTAATATGTAATATTTTAAAAAGTATTTCATAAATATTCAAATGAAAGATAAGATTTTTATTCATATGACATAATTATAACTATTTATAAATTAAGCAAAGATAAATTAATTATGTTTTATAATATATTGTTTTAGCGAACGTCAAGGCTTAAAAATATACTAATAATATTATACAAATATTATTAAAAAACCAGTAATGGTTGCATTGTGAACAGTAAGCTATATGATATTTATATTCTGTTAGTTTGTTCTAATCATTTTAAGTATATCTATATAGATAATTTTATAGTCCAATTGAAAGCGGATTGAAATGACGGATTGTAAGCGAGTGATGGTGGATTTGTGTTATAAGTTCCATGACTGTTGTTTAATCTTAGGAGTTCGCGTACATAAATAGATTAAAAAATTCAAACGCAATATTTATGTGTGCAGTCATCAAAGAAATATTAGGGAGCCCTTATGCACGTCTTATATTATTCTATGAAAGAAAATGTGTCAATCTCAATCAACAAATGGTGTTTTAGATCAGTGAACAGAAGTCATGTGAAAAAGGTTATGACTGTTAGTAGGGAATCTAATTGGAAATTAGGTGTGAAACTTGTGATTGTGTTGAGTGTAAGTGTTTAGTTTTTGTGGTGAAGGTGATTATTCAGTCTCAAAATGGCGGACCTCGAGGCTGTGCTGGCCGACGTCAGCTACTTGATGGCAATGGAGAAGTCCAAATGCACTCCAGCAGCCCGAGCCAGCAAAAAGATCGTTTTACCTGATCCAAGGTAAAGCTGCTTTTTCGTTACGTTACTCCTACGTGGTGATCTTTTATTTAAATGAAACCACTGTCCTACACCTTGTTTACAAAATAATTCATTGATATTTTATTTGTTAATTAAAAACTACATCAACAAGATATTTTTATTAATGAAAGATCAAGTAAAGGTTATTGACATTATATTTATTATTATGAGTGACATTTTATGAATTAATTAAGAGAACCTTTTTGTACCCTTTTATTTATTAGGAAATCATTTGATAAATAAAATAATAACTATCATTTTGTGATTTAATTATGTATTTTTTCTGTATATGTTAAATAATTATTGATGTATGTATAGTTTAAAAAGAATTATACTAAGTAAAAATTAAAATACCACATTTTTAATTATTTAAAAAATGAAAGAAAAGTTTAGTTCTAAATAAAATTAGATAATTATAATAACTAATTAATTTAAAAATCTCGGAGAAACATACTAGGTAGTTTTTAAATGAGATTATTGCTACTACAGCACCATTGTTAATATTGCAGGAGAATTTATTTAAAAAAATATTGAATTATATTTTTAAGTCATAGGTATTCCTAATAATCTGACTCATTATTTCAAGAAAATTTTAAATTATTTGAATACTAGCATTTACATGTGTCTCCGCCCGCATAGTACATTAATCACCAACATAACATATACTAAATCCTTCTCCGAAACACGCTGCATCTTATGGTATGAGTATTATTCCAATCGGTTCAGTAGTTATCACAGTATAACTGAACAAAATAATCGGCGCTCTATTTATTAGTATAGATTTTGATAGTTAAATCACTAGTCTATTTTTATTTTATTATATTTATAATAATTTATAAATTTATGGATGTAAGGTATATAGATTTAGACTTTGGATGTTGATCACTGTCAACTTTTAGCCTTTGAATTTAACATTATATTTTGTGATTTACTCTGATGATCTTTCTGAAGAACTAGAAACCTCCATGTCATAATCAAACCCTAAATGGGCCCTACATAGTAGTTAATCTGTATAAAATTGTAAAATCATTTTTATCCTCTGTATATTGCATTTTTACCACTGGGTGTAAATATAGCATTTCAGAAGCATCATTAAATGATGAGACTAACATCCAACTCTTTGATGTTCTATACTATTATTTCCTTTTTCTTTTCTGACCCATCAACTATCAAATCATGTTAGTTTTGTTTCTTAGTCAAAACAGGACAAATCAATAAACTTAAGAATAATCCTAATGAGATTTAATTATAATCTTAATTTATTATGGATTAATTTTAAATTTAATATAATCACTGATGATTTTTATATCATTAACTAAACATTAGGTATAGTAATCTAATAATGTATTTTTTTACCCTATAAGGTTCCGTGTATTGAACATTCCCCATACATTAAACAGCAGCCATTAACATTGAGATCATTTTTATTTAAATAATTACATTTATTTCAAAATACCTATAAATTTCACCTGTAATGGCAGTGATTTACTTAAGAGTAAATCACTACCATTACAGGTGAAATTTTTGTTTAAAATTTATGTTTAACATACCTTTAAGGTATATAAACCTTTAAGTTATATCCTACTTCTTAAACTAAACTGCCTCAGTGGTGTAGTGGCTAGCATGTACGGCTGCACACCCGGAGGTCCTGGGTTCGAATCCCGGGTAGGGCCAAGTTTAGTTATTGAGTCTTTCTGTATAGTAAGTCTCAGTAACAGCCCGGAGTTGGGAAGTTGGCGGTGTTTCACCCCCGTGCCTCGGAGAGCACGTAAAGCCGTCGGTCCTGCGCCTTAACTCTCACCGGTCGTGTCGAGTGGTCGTCCCACCGGAGTATGAGAGTGATAGGAATAGAGAGTGCACTTGTGTCTGCGCGTACACTTGAGCACTATAATATCTCCTGCGCAGTTGGCTAATCTCAATGAGATTGGCCGCCGTAGCCGGAATCGGCTAGGAGAACATCATCATCATCTTTCTGTATGGTAAGCGTCAGTAACAGGCCGGAGTTGGGAAGTGGGCGGTGTTTCACCCCCGTGCCTCGGAGAGCACGTATAGCCGTCGGTCCTGTAACTCTCACCGGTCGTGTCGAGTAGTCGTCCCACCGGAGTATGAGAGCACTATAATATCTCCTGTGCAGTTGGCTAGTCTCAATGAATGAGATTGGCCGCCGTGGCCGGAATCGGTCAAGAGAACCTGAACAGACAGACAGACAAAAATTCTAAAAACTATAGATTCGGCATCTGTATCGATAATTATGTTTATTTCAATAAGATTTTCCAAAAAATATTTAATGTACAGACTCGGTTTAGTTACAATTTTATTATATGTATAGATCATTGTATCTCTAAAAAAATATTCAGTATCGTCATATTTACTCATAAGTCATAGCATCTGTCATTTGTTTAGTCATTTAATATATTTTTCCATACGAAAATGAAGAAAAAAGATGTTTTGGTATTTTTATTTGTACCTTTATCATAATTTTATTCTTTTACATCCCGGCCCACCTTCGTTTCGCCCAGGTTCGTCCTTGTGAAAAACAAATAAATCTACCACAATCTCAAAATCAAATCTACAATTAATTAATTTGACTTTTATTTTTGATCAATTATTTTTTTAGAAGTTATACATTTAAATATTGAAATGAATTGGAAAATAAAAATCCATCAGAAATTTTAAAAGATGATCATGTCCAACAATTACAAAATTATATATTTACCTACATTAGAATATTTTGTGGCATTTAGCAGAGTAGGCGGCGATGGATGAGAACGGCCGCTGTTACCGAATCAACGCGACGTTAAGCTTTTAAATCTCGTTAGTTATGAGAAGTAATAACTTCAAGTAGTATAACTATTTTTTCTCTTTGAGTCGATGATCTTTATTACGATTTTAATATACATTTACTCATAACAAAATCCGCCTTTACTATTCACTTGTTTTTATTTCTTATAGAAATGTACGTCTAAAATGAAAGTAGTGAATTTTATTTTACCCTCTTCTATAGCATATTCGTATTACATATATGTATCTATGTAGAACACATGTTTCCATAGCATACGTGTTTAGTACGGACCTATTACGTATTCGCCCCAATGTAGCCGTCTTAAATTTTATAAATAGAAACTGAAAAGATAAAAATTAAATCATTTGTTATGATATAGCACACGGTGAGATTTTAGCCTATCGTTTGATATATATTGTAATTATTACATCTGTGTGTTAATATATTGTGTATGTATAATTATAGATTTCTTTTTATTCTCAACTTAATTTATATAGAACAGTTAAATGTGCTTCTAATTAAATCACCCTAGGTCCTAAAATAAAATTTTGGGAGTAGAATTTAGAAGTCTTTAAAGTTTAAATATAATAAAAAATTACTAGCGACTAGCGATTTAGATAAATGTATACCTACCTATTTAACAAATTGACTAAGTGAAAATTATCCAATCGATTTCTTTTTATAGATCTTTTAAAAAGTTTTAAAGCTCGTATCTGCATAAAATAAAATTGTAACTAAGCCGAATCTGTACATTAAATATTTTTTGGAAAATCTTATTGAAATAAACATTGTTATCGATACAGAGGCCGAATCTATAGTTTTTAGAATTTTTGTCTGTCTGTCTGTCTGTCTGTTACCGCATCACAGAAAAATTACTGGAGGGATTTTGATGAGGTATGGTGATAGCTGGTTATCCGGGTCAACATACAGAATACTTTTTACCGCGGGAGAATATCTCATTTTTGAGAAAAAATGCAGAAATATACTAATCTGTAAAACCTAAGAATTTGGTTTTTGGTCATCTGAACGCGGGCGGAGCCGCGGGCAATGCTAGTAATTAATATAAGTTTTAAAGTATAATAGAAATTTTAAGTAATGATACAGTATTTTCAATCCAATCTTTAAAGTAGTACAGATACTATAAAACGGATTTTAGCAGCTACTAGGAAGGGTTAAAAAATTATATATAAAAATGAAAAAGATATAGCTATACATAACATATATATTTAGAAGCATTGCTCGCTTCGCCCGCGTAGCGAATTTAAATGTGTAATTGGTCTGTTCTTATGTCATAGCGTTATGTTTAAGTAGCCTATAAGCTGTCTCAATTAATTATAAATAACTAGCGGCTCACCCTCGCTTCGCTCGGGTATGTCTCTAGGGAAACAAAAACAAATCTCAAATCCCACGGGAACCGTACATTTTTCTAGGATAAAAAATAGACTATAATCTATCTCTGTGCCTTTCATCCAGATCCGTTCAGCCATTCCGGCGTGAAAGAGTAACAAACATCCATACTCAAAAACTTTCACATTTACAAAATAATACGGATTAGTTTATAAATTGTAAAAGTTTTTTGAAGTTATACTTCCTTTGGCACGTTTGGAAAAAATTATGAGAGTAAAATTTTACGATGCGCGCGAACGCCGACAGCCAAAAAGCGGCATGATGAAGTTAGCTGCATTCCTTTTACAAACAGAGTTGTGATATACGGGATGAAATCTTTAGCTATTTTTGTTCTGTTACGCCAAAGAAGTATAACTTCTTACGTGCGTATGTATAAGTACACATACATGTTTTTTTTAAATAGGACAAATAGTTCCATAGATTAGCGCGTTCACGCAAACAAACTCTGGCTCTTACATATTAGTATAGATATTATAAAATGGGTTAATTTACCGAACAATTAAAATTTAAATAAAGAATATTTGATGACATGCTTTAATAGACAATTCCGATTATTATTCTACTAATCTGGAAGGAGACATATTGGTCCAATTCCAAGTAACAGTTAGTCATAAAGTTTCTACCCACCATAAAATTCCATGAACTTGCTATGAAGCAGGTACGAAAAAAGAGCTACGTATAATAATAACGCCCACCATACTATATCATGACCGTACACGCGTTTTATTACCGTAACATACGCGTTCAATGATCATTCTTTACCTGTTCAATAAGCGTACAATGCCCGTTCTATTGATTGTAATTTATTTACCAACCGATTTCGCTTGTGTAAAAAGGACTTTACTCTTTTAAAACAGGACAGAATATAGAGATTTAGAATGAAAGATGACTTAATTGTAATGCGGCTATAATGTCTGGTCGGGTAATTTACTAGCTTTGTACTATTGTGCACTCCAGCATTCCCAAACTAATCTGGATCACCTGAATTCATCGTCGGTTCTGTTGTTTAGACTCCATGATTATGAAGGTATAACTGATTATATTAATAAACTGTACAAAGACTTAATGGCCTAGCTACACCATGAAAACAGCTGCACTAATTGCAAGATAAATAGTCTGAAGTGGCTACTTAAGAATTTGTAATATTTATGTATTTGGAGGAGAGGATGGATTAGGAAGTTATGGAATTATAGGATAACTAAAGAAGTTTGTGTCACATTAAACATTATAATTATATAATACTAGCAGAACCTGTTGCTTCGCTCGCGCTAAAACTATAAAAAATATCTAAAAAGGTAGTTTCATACAAATTTTCATCCCCTATTTTACCCCCTTATAGAATGAATTTCGAAAAATGGTAAAACACATTTATTAAATTTTATTGAAAATCATTATTGGGCATTTCTCTGTGAGCCCGTATAGGTCCCATTACAAATGCTGTCCTGGCATTTTTTTTGACATTTGCCATAAAACCGTGTTCTATTTCGAAATTATATTATAACGTGGTTTTCTGTGGGAAACATATAATCCCGCGGTAAAAAGTAGCCTATTTCACTCTCCAGCCCTCCAACTATCTCCACACAAAAAATCACGACAATCCGTCTCTCCGTTTCGACGAGAAAGAAGGACAAACAACAAACACACTTTCTCATTTATAATATTAGTATGGATATGGATGTCTAAATGGATGCTTCTAATGGATTATTTTTTCTTGAACTTATATTCATTTTCAACTATAACATTGAATTAAGAAATCTTTCAATGTAACTTGGAATAACGAACAAACAAGATTCTTACTTTCATGTCGTAAAAATCCGAAGAAAGAATGTGTCTCATAAAAAATTTCTTCATAGTTGTCACATAGTAAACAAAACCATAAAACACTTTTGTGATTTTATTTATTTAGCATTCGGTTTTAGTTACGACCCTGCCTTTATCTGGATAATATTTGTTAGAATTATTTTATTTGAAACGTGTTATTTTGTTACAGCGTTCGGAGTGTGATGCACAAGTATATGGAGAAGAAGAATGAAGTGAATTTCGACAAAATATTTAATCAAGTTTTAGGTAATGTGATCATTATTATTATACTTCTTAAAGCTGATAATTGTTAAATTTGAGAAGATTTTTGAATATAGCATTACAGTCGTTAAAATATTTGAAAGAAATCTTCCGTTGTATGAATTTTCACTTATAAAGGGTGTATAATAGATATTGAATTAGTAACACTGTGTCATCGTCTTGTCTTTCACCTTTAATGAAATTAACTCATGTTGCAAAAGATAATTTTCCTTATTCGCTCAGGTAGACTTAGTCATAAGGTGATTAAATTGATTGGAAACCGTTACAGTATTGAGTCAAATTATATTATAGGCAATGTTTTTCTAAACAAGTAAAGATTTTTAGAATACTTTTTAAAGATCTTTATATATATGTGGTAGTATGTAATATTATTGAAACAACTGCTAAGACGCACAAAATATTGACTTTCTAAACATGCCTACGGAGAAAAAATTCTTTATATATACCTACTTAGCTTAAGTTCAATCGTCATTTTTATTTATTACTAGCGATTCACCCTCGCATCGCTCGGGTTTGTCCCTAGGTTGATTCCTACACAAAATTTCAACCTTTTGACGGATTATTTCCGGGATAAAAACTATCCTATGTCCTTCCCAGGTTCTCATACTATCTTCTTACCAAATTTCATCTAAATCGGTCCAGTAGTTTCGGAGTCTATTCGGTATAAACAACCAAACAAAAAACAAATCTTTCCTCTTAATAACATTAGTATATTAGACTTATAGTACCCGCGGTTTAGACCGCATTCAATCAGCTCAGCTAATCTGAAGATTACTTGAAAATTTCATTAAACAACAGCACAATATACATGCATACATCGATTTTTATATTTTTATTTATTATTTAAATAATTTTAATTAAGCGTTTTGTTATTATATTATTGGCCAACTAGCGACTCACCCTCGCTTCGTTCTGGGTCGTCCCTAGGTACGTTTTAATCGTAAGTATGGAATATACATTATTATATAATTTATTATTATAGACTATATATTATATATGTGTAGACATAAGTATGATGAGTTGTTGTGAGTTGTATTATAACGGGTTTTCTCATGGGATAATCTCTCGCGTTCAAAAGTAGCTAGCCTATGTCAATCTCCAGCCTCGCAACTATCTCCACACAAAAAAAACATGCCAATCCGTCACTCTGTTTCGACGTGAAAGAAGGACAACAAACAAACACACTTTTACATTTATAATATTAGTAAGTAGGTACGGATGAGTAATGATAATAATTTGACAGTATTCTTAATAAAAACTTTTTAACAAAAAAATAAAAACCGACTTCTAACAAAAGCACTAAAAAGTAAAAAATTACTGATTGGTAATTTTCATTTACTATACATACCTAATCAAATATTTTCGAAGTCGGTTGTTCCTTTGCTTTGTATGGGCTGGCGCCGATTTTCGAACATATTTGATTAGGTGATTTGTACTTTTTTATATATAACCTCAAAATTTATGTGAAAATTTCAAATAACCAAGTTTTTGGTAATTCTCATTTTGATTTTTTTACGAAAACAATTTTTTCTCACGAAATTTGGTGAAACCTTAACTTTTTATGTCCCAAAAATACTGTAATTTTTTTTATTTAAAATATTTATTTTTTCACCTTATTTTGACTAAATATCGAAAAAGTACCTTTATTTTCAATTTAAAGTTGGTGGGCTATTTGTTCTTTGAAAACACTACTTTCTGATGGTGTAAAAATATATACATTACTATGGTAAATTTTCTCAGAAAATGCAAAAAGTATAGTCAGACCTCCTAGCCCCTTCCCCACTTCTCTATGAAATGATGGGATGATGACCTTTTGATGGGCTAAAATTTTCCATAAGTCACTCAGGTAAGTATATAAGTTATCTTAAAAAAAAACAATAAATATGTATTATACAGCTTTCTCAAAATATTGTAGATGTCATATTAAATATTAACATTATTAATTGCATTTTATATATAGGTACATATTATAGTAAAAAGCTGTATTTTGACATTACAAACAGATACTTCAATTTTATTTATTTGTATAGATGTTAGTTTGTAGGGCTGTATTTCCGGGTTTCATTAAAATTGTAACAATCGAGTATCATTTTCTACCTGATTATCACTATAGAAAAATACCTTTGCCGTATGATATTTATCGTGACAAAAAAATTATCATCATGTTAGCCTACAGCCTCACGTTGAGGGGGGCCGAAGCCTAGGCTAAAAAGATACATTTATGAAGTAGATCTTATTTATTAATTATATCACATGATTTCAAAATCCATCCTCTATATCCATCCATCAGGGATTCCCAAAGTGGTCGACATAAACGAAAACTGATTTTATTATATATATTTATGTCTGGTATGGTATGGTATAAACGGGCTTGTTTCCGCAACTCGACGTCTGCGCGCCTATTTTGCGTGTTATATTTATGTCTAAAAATATATATAATAAAATCAGTTTTCGTTTTTATCTATATTTTATGTCTAAAAATCGACCTATTCATTAACACAAGTTCTTATTTGAATCTTTCAAGTTACTGTATAAAGGAGGCCATACACGTTAGGTTTTGCATGATGGTTATAGCCATGCATGCATAACCGTTAGGTATGACTGAGTTTCATATTACACATATACGTTAGGGTTTGCATGCACAGTTTTGCCATTTTACTCTCAGTTGAGCTACGTGACGGTGTGTGTAGGACGCTTACTAGATACTGTGTACGGTATATACCTACCAAACTACAATGGACGACGACGATGTGATAGCTGTACTTGGCTTAACACTTGTTCTGCACAATAGAAAAAGAAAAAGAGATCGCACTGAATGGTCTAAACGCTGGTTATTGAAAAGAAAGCAATTCTCCCACGTAAATTTGATAAATGAATTGAGATTTACACCAACAGATTACAAAAATTATTTACTGATAACTGAGAACTGTGGCAGGCAAGCTCGCCGCTCGCCATACACGCTCGGTTATGCTCGCGCGCAAACATAACCGAGCGGCATAAAATATCAATTTTGATATTTGCTCGGTTGCATGTATATGCACCGATAACTGTACAGTTTTGTCACATACACGCTAGGGCTTGCCTGTCGGTTATGTATGCACGGCTAAAACCATCATGCAAAACCTAACGTGTATGGCCTCCATAAGTTGTTACGTGTACCAACTTTTTATAAGAATGACTAATATTTTAGTAGGAATTTATATTCAATGTTGTACTTTTAAAAACTCAAAAACTAGGGATGGGATTTTTAAGGTAATTTGGCTATGGGGGTCTGAGGTATCAGTTCATTTTAGAAAAGGGGTCTCTTGCCCAAAATTGTTTGGGAATCCCTGCTCTATACTCTTTAGTCTTAGTGAAATTTCTAAGTTGTTCCTTCTGCTGTTTTTGCTCCAAATAACAGACTAAATATTAAATAAGTAGAGATGTGCCGACTACGACTTAGGCCGACTAGTCGGCTTTAAAGAGGCCAAGCCGATCACTGTTTCGGGGGACTTCCCTGATGCTTCGTCTACCGCTCATTTGCGCTCAAGTCGCAACCGCCGCCCGCGAACTTGTCAGAACCTGTTTTCTTTACTTCGCATTGTTTCTTGAATTTTGCTGTTGTGCGGGTCAGAGCGGTGTTTTTGTGTAAAAAATATTTTTTTGTAAAGTTAATAGTCTTATTGTTCATTAAAGTGTAAAAGTTTAATTAAAATTTAATAATGTAAAAAAGAAAGTCTCGTATATGGATTTTTTTGAACAATTGGACAATGATGGGAATCATATAAAGTCAAGTGTAACCAATGCCAAATGATAATCTCTGTGGCGGGCATGGGAAAACAGCTAATACTACAAGTATGAATAACCATATTAAATACCGACGTCCAAGCCTGATACCTCAGTTAAATTCTTCGATAAAATGTTCGATCACAGACGATTTCTCGCAGTTGCAAATCCAACTGAAAAATGGCATGACGGACCCTAAACCAACCGCGGTCGGGCTTAGCTCGTACCCATTGCTTGTTCAGTTAGTATAACAGTATAGCTGGACAAAATTTCAGGTATCGTAAAATATGTGTTGTCAGATTTAAGCTGGTTCTCTAGCTATAACGACAGTGATAGCCCAGTGACACGCTCGCTTGGATAACCGAGTAATGCGGGTTCAATCTCTGTCTCGCACCTCTGATATTTTCATGTGCGAATCATTTCTAACTAAAAATTGCTATAAATACATATATTTTATTAGTTTTCTCACGGACTTACACACAGACATTTTACATTAAATCTTTATTTTCATAATGTAAAAATGACGATTTAAAAGAGCTTGTAAGAGTCGACTTGAATAAAGTATATTTTGATGGATTTATTAAAAAATATATACAAAGCCGGCCTTTTTTGCCGACTATTCGCCGACTACAAAAGTGGCCGACTAGTCGGCACATCTCTATAAATAAGTATTTCTAAACCACTTACATGAATATATTCTTCATATTTTAGTTTTTAATTGTAAATTTATCTCTCCCATGTTGTAGAAATTTTCTTATCTCAGGAAATAAAACGTTATTTTATGGCACTGCGTGACCTAATCCCGCATTTGAGTAACGCTTAACAATGACTTAAATAGACTATTATTAATGAACATACTTATGTCAAATATAATTATGTACATAGAAAGAAAAAGTTACTAGAAATACTTTTGGATGTGATTTGATAGTTCAAAATAAGTATAATAAAATATGTATTTCTAATAGACGTTTTCTAAAAATGTGTTTGAATGTCAAATGATAAAAGCATTTTTTTTCTTTCTTATCGTCTTCAAGTGATTTACTATAAATATCTTCTTTTGCTTTAGTCAACTTTAGTTTTAAATTCTTTTTTTTCCTAATAATCAAGCGATATAGTGGCTTGAACGATCCTGACTATGTTTACAGAATTAAAATCAACAAATATTGTAAGGTACCTTGATGCCATTTTTGAGTTTTTGAAATCATTTTGTAAAATAGTGA